ACAATATATGTTCAGCATTTAGCTACTACTCTTAAAAGTAATATTAGAGATTTTTTTTTCTATCCACATTTGATAAGTATATTTATATTTATATTTATTTTTTTATAATTTTATAATTTTTTTTATTTTGATTCAAATCTCATAATAGATATTTAGAAAATATAAGAAATTTTAAATCAATAATTTGAAATGTTTGAATGGTGTTGTTCAATGCATCACTATTAGAAATCAAATTGGCTTTACAATTCAAATCATTATTTTTTTTAGAAATTTCATTAATTGTAACTAAAAGAAAATAATGGTTGTATTGAGAAGATGCTATAAGCTAGTTATCTTGTATAGAGTTGCATTTTCTATGCAAGTGTATAGTTACTTCCTCTCACTATACTTAAGGCATTGCTACCGTTGTTGTCAACAAATGGTCAAGTTGCTCCAGCTTCCAAACAAGCTCCAATGGAACCTGCTTATTAACCTTGGCACCTTGCCTTAGAAATTACTCTATAATTCAATGGTTGGAATTTGGAGTGGGATCTTGGAGGAGCCAATGTGAAGCAAGTAGGTGGCATTTTTGTATTCTATGAAGGGTGCTTGAGAATGCACTGGGCACCTAGCTATGGACAATAAAATAGAATTTGTAACAAGGAATTCCTAATAACTCTAATATAATACTAAAAAAATATTTAATTAAATCTTAATAATGCTCATCTATCTTTATTCAAATCTAAAAGAAGTCTTAAGAAAATTATCAAAGAAATATAAAAACAATTTAAATTTACCTTTGAGAAATATGAAATAAAAAATTTCCAAAGAAATATCAAACAAAACTTGAAGAAATATTTAAAATAAAAATATTAAATGAATTTTAAATAAATCTTAAACAAATACTAATCAAATTCTAATGAAATTATAAACTAATCTTAACCAAATCCTAATCAAATTTTAAATTCTAACCAAATCTTAAATTGAACTTAATAAAATCTTAGTCAAATCCTAAATAAGTCCTAATAAAACTTTAAACCAACCCTAATCAAATTTTAATGAAATTTTAAACTAATCTTAACCAAATTCTAATAAAATCCTAAACTAATTCTAATTAAATTTTACTAAAATCCTAACCAAATTCTAATCAAATTCTAATCAAATTATAATTAAATCTTAAAGAGATCTTGAACAAATCTTAAAAAAATCCAAGAAAACTCAAAGTAAATCCTAACCAATTTTTATATCTATTTTAAAATCTCAATAAATACTAATTAAAATATTGATTTCAATTCAAATTTCACCCACATTTCAATTCACAAGGATTTAATAAGCACAAAAATTTTTAGAAAAATCAAACTCACTAATTAAAAAAAAAACTTCTAAACCTCTCAAAAGTTGTCCACCCTCCTTCTCCAACCTAAATGTTGATCTTTTAGTAGTGATTTCTCCTTGCTAAACCATTTAATTGCTTCAAAATTTGGCTGGTGTATAGATTTCTAAGTCCAAATTTCTATCACTAATTTTTTGCTTCAATTGAATTAGTGGATTTTTTAAGATCATAAAAATCCTTATTGATTCTAAATTTCAAAACTCAAAGATCCTAATCTAATAAAACTCTCATAACCTTCGATCTAATTGTTTGATTAACATCAAAGTTTTTAAACATATTGAAGATAAGCAAAAAGACAAATTCATAAAATTTCATTCTTAAACGTCCTACAACATTCATACAATATTCAAAATTATTAACTTCTTTTTATTTTTCAAAATCTAGATCCATTGAGTACATCTCTCAATTTCAAAAGCCCTAAAAAACTCAATATGTCTTTAAATCACATAAAACCAACTCTCAAAATACCACTCACTAGTTTCTTCTAAAATTTCACTCTTCAATTAATCAAAGAATTCTAGAATTACTGTAAGTATATGGCTCAAAGTTTGATTTTGATCCTAATTTACAATTGGTCCTCTTTGGATATCAATTCTTAGTATTTTAGAATAAATTTTGCTAAAACCTATTCTTAACACTCTTCTAAAGATGTAAATATGATTTGTTTTCTTTTATTAATGGCTTTACAAAGTAAATTAAAGCATCTTTTTCAAGAAGGCAATATTAATACTTATTAATTTTTACTACCTTTTATCTATTAATTATATTCCTAAGATAATTTTCTAAAATATTTTTATTTAAACTCTTCTATAATATAATCTTTTCTTTCTTCTTTCATGTAATGGCCATATTACAACTCATCAATGTTGGACCATGAGCCTATGATATCCATCCCTTAGCTGCCTCTATTTGTGCCAATGGATGGTGATGTCCTTACTTATGTTGATGTACTAGACTATTGCATCTATGCCTATATTATTTTTGTATCCTCTTCAATATCTAAAATGTTATCATGTATAGTTACCATATATGATGCTATTCTATTATGATACATTACTTTAGAAGTGCTAAGTGTCATTGTTAGTATTAATATTATGTTTATTAAGTATTTTTATATACTTATCACTTTTTAATATCTAATATTATTAGATATATTAATTAAGACAATCTAATACAATCAAATCCCTATCAATTAAATTCTAATTTTATTTAAATACTCTACTATTAATATCTTATAATCTTTTTTTATTATTGTATAGTATAAAACCTTATGTTAATGGCTTTAATAATCAACTTTAGAGTAATTAAAAACATATAAATAATTTAATACTTAATATTATTATTATTCTAAGTGAAGATTAACAAATTCTAAATCTAGATGAGCTAAGGGTGTTTGGACCTCATAGCTCTTAGTCTCTTAGTACTATATTATTGCAGCAAAAAAGCCAACAATCTTAAGAATCATATTTATATATATATATATATATATATATTCTTAACACTCAATTTTAAATTTTAAACGAAAAACTATTTATTTTCTAGTATATAAAAAAGAAAATAACATTTATGGTGAATTGTTTTATTTGAGCAATGAAAAAAAATGTTCAATTTCTAAATGATTTTGTACATTTATGTGGTTCTATTATCTTTAGACAAAAATAAAAAAGTAAAGGGATGATTTTCAGATTGATTTATTTATTATTAATTTATTCAAGATAATCAATCACAATTTAATAAACATTTGTACTGCTAACATGCGGCATTCTGGAATAAATTCTTGTTTATTTAAAACACAAATGGATTGAGAAGTATGTATAGTGGAGAAATGTTTTACAAAAAAATACAAATGAAGCTATCAAGTAATTTGTAAAAGACTGTGCACAGTTACATAAGATTATCATTTATTATTAAAATTCAGTAAAAAATTACTATAAAATACATCACACCCAAGACATCTCTTGGAGAACAAAAAATATACAAAAGCTTAAAAAAAGATAAGAATTGGAAATACAACACCTATATTTTCTACAATTACTAGGAGATTTAGATTTGAATTGCTAAATTATAATTTTTATTTGGATTATTTTTGTTCCAATTTTAATTTTTTTAATAAAAACTTTAATTTAGATATTTACAATTATATTATTCCTTGTTTACTTGGTCCAACAATTACAAGAGAATTGCTACAACTTTGAATATTTTAAATGAATTGGCACACTTAAGAATCAATGCATGCATCTTTACTTAAGTTTGCTTTGTTTTATAACATGTAAAGCCCAAGAGTATAAAATACATATAATGCATGAGTAACCTAAGATGATAAAATTTCAAATACATGCTCATAGGAAGTATCTCACATCTTTGAATTGCTGTAACACACAAATTTAAATGAAAATAAAATCATGATTATTTTACACTTATGAATAGTATGAGATCCATTTAACTTTTTTTTAAAAAAAAATCCTAGAACTTCTCATTTACACTCTCTTTTTACCTTTCTCCATTTATTAAAAAAATGTATATTTTCATTTATCTTATTTCTACAAAAACACAATTATTCTCCAATCCAATTCAAAGTAGAACAATATTGATCTAGAATGACCTTAAATGACTTAAAAAATGCTATCCCCACACAATGCAAAGGAATACTAAATGTAAAGACTGACACCTCAAATCGCAGCTGTGAAATGTCAGCCTTGGTTTATCCTTGTTGTTTAAAAAAAAAGAAAAGGAAAATAGGAAAAAAAGAAAATGATAGAAAAAGACAACAAATGGAATCAGGAACAAGATAGATATTCTGAAAAGCTGGAGCAGTGAAGTAAAGTCACTTTTGTGCTTCTTTCAACTTTTCACTAACACAGAAGCAAGTTTTGTTTTACCAATACACAAAGCTAAGTCTTACTTTAATATCAACTTATGTCAACCATCCCTACCATTTTGTTTTTTTCTCCAAACCCATCTCTTATATAAAATAGTTCAAGGGATAAACCAATACAATAAACCAAAGGAGACAAAAAACCATATGTGATTGGCTGCATATCTCATTGTTTTCATCGAAAGTGAAGCAATTACTCAACTTTTGATGAAATAGAGATCAAAATCTACATGATGTTATTGCAGATTGCCGAGATTAGCATTGCAAGATCACTAGACATAGAGTTTGAAAGCAGCACAATGTGGAACAACATAGAACATCGTAAAACAACATGCAACATGGAGTTTCACATCATGCAAAGCTTCAAACAAAAAATTAATTTACAACACATAATTTACAATGTTTTTTTTAGTTGCCAATGGCACAAGTTTCCACTAGTTACTTATAAATTAGGTGCATGTGTGTTTCAACATTCACTCTATATACTCTACTTATTGTATTCATCATCCCATCCATTTTACCCAATTTTACACGTCCATTGATAACACGAACTTGTTTCAACACCAATTATCATTTTTTTGCACATCAGAGCGGAATATTTCAGGGGATCTCGTTTGGACACGTCAATCGAGACCTGATTTGAGGATGTGGTTGTGATTGCGTTCACACTGCGGAGAGTGACGTCGGGTGCGTTGGCGGGGTCTGTGGTCGGTCTTCTTCTTCTTCGGCATCAGAGAAAAGCATTCAGTCTGTCTGTCTGTCTTGCTTAGCGGACTTTACTCCTCGTAGATCTCTGACTGTGCTTACGGAATACTTCAATGCCATCTAAAGCAGTTGGACATAAGAAATAAAAATCCATGTCTGCGTTGATTGATCACTTTTAGCTCATTCGGATAACAGGAATAATGTCGAGGGAGGGAGAGAGATTCGCCATGAAGTAACGGTGAATCGGTCATGGAGTTACGCAACGTGCTTCAAGTGCATGCGCGGTACCTGGGAGCAGAGAATCGGTTGATACTAAGAAATTTACCGCGGGGAAGATCTGAGTGGCTGAGGAGTTTGGTGGTTTGTTGTCGCTGTCAGTCTAGGTGAACGGAAGATGGATATGGAGCAGGGTGAAATGTAGCCGCAGGTTGGATCTGATTCTGGTAGCAGAGCTTGAAGGTTCTGAGGCAATGGCGGGGGACGGACAATCGTGCGTGAGGGTTGTCGGTCGGAAGTAAGATTGCGTCGCTGGTGTCTCACGAATTTGGTGCGCTGAGGCTCAAGATTGGAGCAGGTAGGTTGATTTGGTGTGGTCTGGATTGTTTCTGGGTGAGAGCCTGGTTTTGATTAGGAAATTTCCACCTCTGCGCTCTCCTCATTGAATGCGTTGTGCTGAAAGCGTACGTGATGCGCGTCGTGCTTCGGGTGGATCCTGGTAGTGAGCACTGTTTGAGCTTATTCAATGCGCAGCGGTAGAGATCTCAGTGGTTGATTTATTTATTAGTTTAGTTGTTTTTGTTTCTGTTTATTGTTTGGCACTTGCATTGTGTTGGGTGCATCGAGGTGCAACTAGGATTTAGATTAGGAATGAAGCTAACATTCATTGAGCTAAGCTGCCGTCATTGTGTGAGACGTATTTGAGACAATTCAAGGTGAGTGAGTGATTCGAGTGTGCGTCACAATGAATCAAAGGGCAATTTGTCTTGTCTTCCTCACTCTAAGAGAGGTTATGTAATGTAGCAAGTGAGTGGTTGGATAGGTTTTATGATGGTAACGGATATGGCTAGAAGTTTGAAAACATAACGCTTGTACAGTTTCTTTGCCCGTTTTGTCTTCTGTCGATTACGTCAAGCCTCTTTTACTCAGGGCCAGAGTGCAGAGAAGGGCATCCTAGGAAATTGTACCAATTGCCAATTATGTTAGTGAAAGAAGTGGTGTATCAAAAGCTTCATGCATCAACCATCTCCATAGTTGTTGAATGCATAAGCCTTGAATCCCAAGGAAACTTCATTCCGTTATTTAACCATGCAGTATGAATTATGTGGATCAATCCAACGAAGTTGGGTTTACCTCATCCAAGCACCTACGCTTAGATTTGTGTGTAGTGATTGAACTTTGAGTGTTGTTGGTGTGTTTTGCAGTAAAGTGTGAGCTTTGGATTCTAATTTTTGAAGAAGTACAATCCACTTTTCTATTTAAGAAAGGGAGAATCGTGCGTGAAGGTGGTAGAGTCCAGTGATTGTGCACCTAAAAGGGTCGGCTCAGTGTTCTTGTTCAATCTTTTCTCTGTTTTGGCATTGGAGCGAGATTTTCACTGATTTATTCGTCTCAAACGGAAGCGTCGCAATATGGGTCTCACTAATGAAGCATTGAACTTAACAAGTTCTCAGAAAAAGACTGTGGCCGTCATTATGATGGGAGGTCCTACTAAAGGTATGTCTGCTTACCTTATTCATAGGTGTTTGCAAAGATTGTTTTAGGTCTGTATCAGCAATCTGAGCGCAATCAAGCACTAGATTCTTCGAGTACGTAGACTCTTTTGTTACTAGAATAGTCCTGCTGTCGAGAAGTGATAGTCTCAGTGTAAATGCAATGTGTTTTCGGTGAAGTAAGTAACCTTCATATTCGATTAATTTAGAACGTACTTATTGGGTTGTAATATTCGAATGATTTGTATTGATATCTTAGTTGTGAGTATGTAGGTACTCGCTTCCGGCCTCTCTCCTTCAACGTGGCCAAGCCTTTGTTTCCCTTGGCGGGCCAGCCTATGGTTCACCACCCAATTCTTGCTTGCAAAAAGGTACGCACTTGAACTTTGGTATCTTGATTTGAGAAGTTGAGGAATGCCGTATGATTTTTATACGATTTGAGGTTCATGGCAAGGTACCTGTTGACTTATTGTCATATGAGTGCGGCAAAACAAGCAGATGTTTCGATTGATGCTATCTATTTAAATGTCTGGATTAGAAGAACCGTATAAAACAGATCAGATGTAACCACTGAGGCATTGTCCTTGTAAGTTAATATGTTAACTCTACCCTTCCTATTCTCACAACAATATAAAGTTTTACTCTTAAGAAGATCGTGAACTCTTAAGACTAACTGTTAACCTTAGGAAATTGTTGTGTTTTAACAATTACCCGTCGGCAAAGGTCTAATTGTATTTGATTGCACGTTGCAGATATTGGACTTGGCACAGGTGTTTCTTATTGGATTTTATGAGGAGAAAGAATTTTCTCTCTATATATCTGCACTTTCAAACGACCTTAAAGTTCCTGTGAGGTGAGCTAATACATCAATGTGGAGCACTAATGCTCTTTAATTGCAAATTCATTACTTAAATAATAATAATAATAATAATAATAATAACAATAAGGAAAATTTAAATCTGGTATTTTAGTGATCTATTTGCTCTTTACTCGTAACTTAGCGTGTGGAGTTGGCTGCAGGTATTTGCGTGAAGACAAACCTCATGGATCTGCTGGCGGCCTGTACAATTTCCAGGACCTCCTCTTGGAAGATGACCCTGTAAGCCCTGGTTTTTTGTATCACTGTGTGTCTACAGAGCATCTTTAACGTGTTTCCATTTAGGTTCTTGTGAAGGCAATATCACGCGTTTGTGAAATGATCATGTTTTAACCATTATTTTTTAATCAAGAGGATTCATCTTTGACATCAATTCATCGAAGTAATGCCGCAGGCATGTTCATCTCGAAGTTCGGAAAATCACACCTCTTGAAAATTAGCAACACTTGAATATTTCTGACCTTGATATAATTCTGGCAGGATAATACTGATATCTGGTCTCGTTTTTGTTCTGTGCAGACTGATATTGTTGTATTGAACTGCGATGTATGCTGCAGCTTTCCTTTGACAAAAATGCTTGGTAAGCTGGTTGCAAGCAAATCTATTAACAAAGTTATTCACTTTCTAACTTCTTCAGATCCATTCACTTTGACGTGGTAGTCTGGAGGTCGAGCGACTTTTGTAAGCATTGCAGAAGCTTCTCATGTTGTATAACACTTGTAGCCCTGCTACTTCTTTGGCAGTGAGTAGATGTCATTGATAACAATCTCCCCTGCTCACTGATGTGATCCACGTATGTCTGCAGAGGCTCACAGAAACCATGGGGGTATTGGCACGCTGTTAGTCAAGAAGGTGTTTTTTTTAATCCTTAATAAATACCTTTGGATCTTTCTATCTAAGAATTTGAATATATCCAAGTAAATCATTCTGCACTCGAAAAGATTGAACATGAAAGATTTATCAAATGTGTCTTTTGTCTATATCCGTCTTTCATACCTGACGTCATCTTCTGTGTTTGTTATTCGTTCGTCTTGTCAGAAGCGCTCTATTATTTTTTTGCCGTTGCTGAATCCAGAATAGGTGAATTTTGATAGTTTTTCTGGAGAAATACGTGGTCTGCAGGTTTCTAAAGAAGTGGCAAGCGAATACGGGGAGTTGGTGGCCGATCCTAAAACTGGCGAGTTACTTCATTATGCCGAGAAGCCAGAGACGTTCGTAAGCTTCTGAATCTAGAAATTTTAGAATTAATACTTTTGAAAAATTTAAACTGCTTTTAAAACCTTGTTGTATGGATCTCTTCAAAAGTTTTCTCTTGTGTGTCTTTAACCACTTTAATTCTAATAATGTTTTTAGAACCTAATTGATATTTCTGCATTTCCGTAGTGTATTCAGAGGACAATCAAAAAGCCACCAGCGAGGTTTTTAAATCATCGCATGATTTCCTTGACATTGTGGTTGTTCCACAGGTGAGTGACTTCATCAATTGTGGAGTTTATATATTCACACCAGAGATCTTTAAAGCCATCGGAGACGTCACATCAAGTAAGCATGAATCTTTGAGTTTCTCGGTTCTCTTTTCTCTTCGTGGGTTTTCTCCTCATGTACACGAACCTCGTTGGTTAACATGCAAGCTATTTTGGAATCATCATGAGTCAGTTTTATCAATGATGAGAGCTTCTGTAAGAAGCTCTTATGATAAATATGGTTGCAGCCAAACCCTCTAACTCACGTTTTGACTGAACTTAATCACTTAACATGTAAGATATCTTGCTTTCTTGTCAACTGAGTTGCTCATACTGGGAAAATGTTTTTATTGCCTGAAACCTCCTATTTGTCGGCAAAGTTAAAAATTGCAATAATACTTGCAGCAAGTCTGAGTCACACGACAAGTTTCGAGCTCCGTCCTACTCCGACTAACAATAGGTGAGTTTCTTTCTGACATTGTAGAGGATTTTTTTTCCTGCATCAATTGGTACGAATAGACTGAAGAAAAATTTTCTTGAATTTTGTTCGCCCTGTATGGGACGAAGTCTGACTACCATGAATGTTTTTTCTGGGGATCATCTCAAGAGACTGGATGACGGAATTTATTTTGTTGAAACGATAATACTGGAACAACATTTTTGTTCATTGATGTTTTTAATGTGCACTTTTTAACATAAACCATGGAAGTTTTCCAGACTTATGCAAGCTGATTTTATGAGGCTTGATCAAGATATCCTTACCCCACTTGCTGGCAAGAAGAAACTCTACACCTTTGAAACCAATGATTTTTGGGAGCAGATTAAAACACCAGGGTGAGTTATGGATCTTGCAGTACTCTCTTTATTACATGCTTCACTGTGGAAATTTGTGAAATTTTGTTGTACCTTCTCCAGATCCTTTAATGTTCCAGCTTCTTGGGGACTCATCCGTCATTGTAGGGATGTTATTCATTGACTTTATGTGGAAGAACCCTGTGCAAATGTCGCCGAAGTAATTGTTTTTTCAAATGCTGACCTCATCTAAAATTCAACACGTTCATGTGCTTTTGTGTTGGTCTTTTGGGCTCCCAAAACTATAGCTCCCAGGCACATTACTTGTTGCCTTGTTCTGATTTGTTTGTTTAACGATACTATTCACTTTTCTACTAGTTCTTCTTTTGATTCAAGCTTTTTGTTTTGAGATCATGATGGATCTTAGTTACTGATAATGAAAGGAATTCATTTCAGTATGTCTCTCCGGTGCTCGTCTCTCTACTTAGCACAGTACAGAGCGACTCAGCCTGAGCTTTTGACTTCTGGAGAGGGCCAAAAGTCTCCTACAATAATAGGAGACGTTTTCATTCATAGGTCTGCCAAAGTTCATCCAACTGCTAAGGTAAAGGTTCATTTCCAATTGGCAACATGGGTGTGGTTGAAAATTCAAGTCGGTGATACTCGTCAACTCCCCGTTTTCTATGGGTGGTTTGCTATTATGTTAGTAATTTACGCCCTTGCTGGATCTTCCGCTGTACTAAAGCCTGACTGGCTTAACTGCTGGATCGTCTGCTTGGTGTTTATCACCGGGCTTTCATGATGATTTTCTGATGAATTGTGGGATGGTTGTTGACAGCTGGGACCCAATGTCTCTATATCTGCCAATGCTCGCATAGGCCCTGGTGTTCGGCTCGTAGGGTGCATCATCCTTGATGATGTTGAAATCAAGGTTCGTATTTCGTCTTTTACTAAAAACACTACATCGAGACTATTCTCGTGTCTGTTTAGTGCAGTTCAATGAAAGTCTTGAAATCGCTTTGCCATCACTCTTGGGATCTGCTTTCATGACAATGTTTATGGACTTCCTCTCGAGGCAATCACTAACAATATGCATTTTATTGCTGTGAAATTCCAACTTGATCGTTAGTGTGACGAATACCTCACACGGTATGTTAGTAGAAGTGCAAGGCCCACTGGTTTGATGCACGTGTATGTCATCTTAGCTTCGCACATCACTCAGCATTCTGATATGTTTTGAGACAAATATTCCAGGAAAATGCTGTTGTGATGAACTCCATAGTTGGCTGGAAGTCTTCGTTGGGAAAATGGGCTCGAGTTCAGGTTAACTTCAACCTAATTTTGATAATCCGTCTCAAGTAGAATCTAAATTCGTCGTCCTAATCGTGCAACTAATAAGGCATGAGGAATATCGTTACTTGACGTTTTACGCCAGTGTACTCAGCAAGTTTTGTTTTTATTTGAATGTAACTTTTTTCGGATCATTTGGTTGTCTGATTGTTGTATGCAGGGAGGAGGTGATTACAATTCCAAGTTGGGCATCACTATTCTTGGTTCGTTTTGCATATCCAACTTGACAGGCCTTTTCATTAGTTGATTAATTGATTTCCATAGGTTTGGTTTCACACTTGACTCATTCATCAACTGGAGATTTCGTTGTGATACATGTGGAAGATTTGTGGCATCCTTTTGTGATCATCTTCTAGCTTCTACCATCTTTGCAGTCCTCGTTTGCAAAGTTGCTGAATTTACTCGAATGTATTATTGATTTGAAGGAATTTTGTTATCTACAGGAGAAGACGTGGCCGTTGAGGATGAGGTTGTTGTCGTTAATTGCATTGTCCTACCTCACAAGACTCTCAACATCAGCGTCCATGATGAGATCATTTTGTAATTGCAGCTGAGGGTTTTGTCAGGAGTCTTAATAGCTTGAGGTAGTTCACTTATTAATCTATATATTGGCTTTGCCAGGATAATTTTGCATTCTTGTATATTTGTTATTAGCTTGGAGGAGGTCAATATAGCAGTTTTGCTTGTAAGACTATTATTTAGTGCAGAATATATCAATGTATTTCAAATAAGAGGTCATTTCATAAATTCAAGTTGTGCTTATCTTCGAGGTAGTTGATGTGAATAAATTTGTGTTTCTGTAATAGAATGATATCTAATTTTGGATGCAAATTTTGCATGAGATCCCATATTTCTTTGCATTTTTTTTATGCCTTTTAGTCCTTTTCCAAATACTAGACATTATATAAGGCCACAATTAGGCCGCTAATCATGTATTATATTTGTTTTTTCCACCTCTAGTTTTTGCTTAAAGAAAGCAAAGAAGATCAAATATGATTTCATATTGAAATCTTCCTAGTGTAAACTATTGAATTCTTCTTTCTAAGCTATGTGTGTTATTTCTTTTACACCTTCTAATATAGGATCTTGATAGTTGTTGGCTATAAAGGACAATTACTTCAAGTACTTATTATAATGTGTTTGATCATTATGAGTTGATTGTCAAAGGAGATTATGGCCATCTAATTGCAAATTGGAGTGGTGTTTATAGTTTTCTATTTTGGTTGCTAGAGTATATTTGTCCAAAGTCTCAAGAAATTAGATCCGTTATTTCTCTTAGTAATTTCCACTTGTAGAATTGATTATGTGCATTTGCATTGTGGTTGTTATCTAGTCATATTTCTTGAGTGCATGTTGCAACTGCAATGTACATAAGAAAACATCACTGATCTTATACACAAGTGTTTCCAAGGAACAATCATAGTTGGCTCTTATTAGCACCAAAGTGATGTGCCCTTGTAATGGCTTCTCTTATTGATATTCAATTCTTAATGCCAACTAGGATTGGAGGTGTATTAATGTAGAGTTGTAAGAAATGATCTCTTCTAGTTAATTAAGTTTTTTGTCTCTTAGGATTATTTTGTTGCTTTTTTCTATCCATATAAATTGCATTCCTTGGGACATTGGGGTGGGTGTTTTGTAAGAGTCGTGCTTGTTATTCTTCAAGATTTCTTCATCTCCACTATTTAGTTTGGGTGGATTGAGATTAATTGCTATTGAATTCTCTGAATTAGTAGATTTGCTATATGGTCGTTTTTTATCTTCTTTCCAATTGAGTGTATAGTACTTTGCATGATGTTTGGTACTTTAGCATCTATTGCATTGTATTAGTAAGCCACTATATTTGATAGTGTGTTTTTTTTTGGCTCCTAAAAAATTAAATAATACTATTAAGTGGAAGAGTTTTGTAATGTCATTGACTAGATGTAGACTCTAGGTCTTGTAACTTTATTTTTGTAAGTTTTGTAGAATCTATGGCAATCACCTCTCCAATGCTACTAAATGCTTCCATAAAAAATTGTAGAGTACAAAATAAGAGTTAGAGTTTCCTAAATTGAATCTAAATTGGGTATGTAGTATGATAAGAGATTAATAAAGATTTGGGATCAAAGTCAACTTGCCAAATAGTAAAAAAAAATCTTAGTTATTGAATTTGTATTGTTTGGATAATATTTGTATTGTGCCATGTTCATTAGTAAATTGTACCTTAAAGCAACTTCTTCTAAGTATTATAGTTGAAGAATACAAGTTGTAAAGGACATGGATAATCCATTCATGTAATATCCTTGGTTTTAGATTTCTCTTCAAGTATCCTACTAAGATATGCCTCTCTTCATGTATGGTTTATTCTTGCAATTATTACATTGTGCTTACGCTAAGGTTAACTTTGATTATATTGTCTTTAAGGTATGATTGTGATATCTTTGATTCTACTTGCATGGGTGTGTTTGGAATACAAAGAATTGATGTGTTGATTTCAAATGCTTGTATCAACATTTCTACTTTTGGTTTCATTTGTTATCCAAGCCTTAGGAGCTTATCTACCTCTATGTACTGGTATGATAATCTGAGTTGAGAATTAGATTGAATAAAGTCTTTTGCACCATCCTATTTTGTTTGTATAAATGTCTTAGGAGTTTCTATTGTGTAATGTGTCAATGCTAATATCTTATGCAATAATGTTCTCATATATGATGGTTGGATTGTCTATAGTGTGTTGGATTGGTTTTGTCAGTATGGCTCAAGTTATCTATCCTATCTGGTTGATTGGGGTTTTGATTTTGATAAAAGATATGAGAAGGTGATGCAATTCTAATATTCCTTTAATTGATGAGATAGTTCTCTTTTGTCTCTATTGGAAGTGTACCTCCATTGTCTTTTTGCAATAATATGTCTTGCTCGTATTGTAGTTGCATCGGCCGACACTCTCCCTCCAATGGAAAATAGAGAGATTAAATCTCAAAGCTCCCTTTAGAGTGTCTTTCCTCCAAATTGAGGCTTTTAAAGTTATCAAAACTTATTTGAGTTTCTTAGATTGAGTCTACGAATAGAGGGCTTACTTGTGAAGTTATATGGAGAATTGTTGTTGTGTATGGTTCCTTTGCCAACTCCATCTTACTCCCTTGTCTTATATGTGTTGATGCCATAACTTGTGCCTTGCTTCATAATATGTATGCTATTTCTTTTGGAGCACTCTAAGTCTAGCCTTTCTATGCCCTCTATCTACTTTCCTCTCCATTCCTAATGTTGCACTTTGTTTCTCTACAATGGACCCTATTGAATCTGGAATTAGAAATTCCTAAATCACTCTAATCCTTCCAATTATATATTTGCTCAATGGTTGGGCATATTATAAAATACAGATTTGTATTTCCTACTCCCTAATCTATTAGCAAATTGTTGTGTTGCAATCTCCTAGAGTGTTGCAGTGCTTCTCCAACTATTTTCAAACTATTAAGCTCACAAATCACTCAAAAAACAAACATTTTGATAATTTCAGATTGTTAAGGTGCGGCTCCAGATTTCATGGAGCCTCACCACTACATTGCTCTATCACTCTACGCTCTACCAACTGAGCTAGGTCAGTTGGGTTGTACTGTTCACCTAGCCAAAGATATAAGTATGATCACTAAACTTTCACATTGAAAGGTTTCTTTTCCCCTTCGTTACTTGCTTGTGACATCAAAAATTTGGATCATCGTTTGCTTATCAATTTTGTGGTCCTTTCTGTTCTATTTACCAAAAACCAATCAAATTCCATACTTCAAATAAAACTACTGCACTAGTTACACTCTGCACATTAATTACAAAACCCAAAAAGGTGGAAACAATTATTCCACAGTACAACAGACTTATTCAAACCCACATTTTATGTTTGAAAACAAGTTATATAAATTTTAGCACATCAATTCACATGATGTATGTATTCCAATGTATACCTCATGTTTATATAATATCTCACATTCAGCATACATTTTCTAATCTATTGCTATGAAGTGCTTCCATTTCAATACCAAGTGATATGTTACAAGTAATCACATCATTTGTGTCCAATTGTTTTGTCTTTTTCTTCTTCGTCTTCTTCTTTTTTTCTTTCTTGGTTTTAAAAACTTTAATTTCTTGGTACCTTTTTAAAAAACATGATCAAGTCAATGAGTCATATTAATCTACTTTTGCAGACTTAAAACTTAAGTAAAAGAAAAGTAATTTAGTGCTTTTGCTGAAAACACGTTCTTAACTCCTCTTCTGCCTTCATCTTCCCGTGAGCAATGGTTAGTGGATTTCCAAATGAAGCAAACAAACACGTACTTGTCCACATCCCTTGGACAAATCAGACAACACACTTTCCTCGTTTAATTAAATTAACGACTCAGCTACAAAAAATTGCAGTGCACGCCTTGGTAAGTGAGATGGTAAACAGGCATACTTAAAACAGAAGGTAGAGGTCAACACTGATAACAAGGCAGAGGGCTTGTTCTGGACACGTCCTCCCGAGAGCAACAGAGCACCACATGTAGTCGAAGAAGCATGTGTGAGGTTATCATTTTAAGACAACCACTAGACCCTCTGACCACATCAAAAATAGGTTAATACTTACATTTGGGAGAATTTGGTGTGAAGACCTGCCTCAACACTCTTAGCTTCCCAAATAAACTCTGATTTCACAAGATGCGGAGTTTCAGCATGGAGATGGAGTCTCAAGAAACTTGCCAACTATAATATAGATATTCTCTTGGCAGGCCAAGAAACAAGTGGTCCTAGCCACAGTTCTGGTAGTTGAATTTCTAATTTACGACTTTACAAGTTATATCCCTAACAGATTCAAAACACTTCGTATAATGATATCGTAACGACCCACGGGTAGCTGCACTTGACAGATCTTACACTGTACATCTCAGAATCTACCAGAAGACACTACTCTCCCAATTCCCACAAGGTGGCACGTGAGTTTAACCAGAACCGAAGACAAACTTCTCCTTCTGCACCAAAATGCAATCTTGTCACGCTGATCATTTGTGCTCGACTCTTGTAGTCGTAGTGACAGTACGTATCTACCTCCAAGTGTAGCTACCGCCACGAGGAGTCTGCAATCATGATGTCGATACGAGTAACCCGAGCATTTCCGGTACTTGCAAAACATTAACCACCCCAACCTGAGCATCCTGTTCCCCACTAACCCTGCAAGAAACTTTTGCTTACCTATCCAGGAGCTAGGGTCTGGTCTCTGTGAACGGAAACTTATCTGCCATTTCGGATTGATCTGCTTTTTGTTCATTATTCCAGTACATTAAGCAACCTAGCATTTCATACGTATTAGGGCTGCTGATCCCCAAGACCACCACTCAATCCGGCACTCAATTCAGCACTCAATCCTCCCAAATTTCCAAGAGCACTCACAGCTTGCCCTAAATCTCCACCACCCATTCCTCTAGAGCCGATGGTTCGTAAACACTCAGAAACTTGACCAAGGGCCACAATCAAACTGGTAGCAATGCGTTCGTTTGCTTCAAGTTGCCGCTCAAGTCGACGATCCTTGCGTTCTTCACTTTCTCTGATAGCCCGTTCTAATCCAGCCATGCCCTCCACAAACTCAGTCCATCTTCTGCACCAGAAAATTAACAAGTGCTTAAAAGAACGAGAACTCCAAAACCAAGCACTCCATGCAAGCATTAAACACATGCAAACACAAATATGCACTTGTAAAACTGGCAAAACATTATATGGTATTCTTGTTAGTCTTGCAATGTTTGTGACAAGTTTCTCCTATTCGCTAACACGAAAATGATAATGCAATGTATTCACAAAGCTCGCTCGGCAAAATCAATACATAAAATCCCTACTGTGACAATAACTTCCCAAAATTAGCTACAATCAAGCTGGAAACTTGAGACCCAACATAAGCAACAGGTTCATCAGTTTCAGTGTTGTGAACACTACGTACCTGCCTCCTGGATTGGAATTGCTGGAAGGAAAACTGCCACTATCCTCACTGTCAAATCCATTCCTACCAGCTTCATCACGTTCGTGATCTTGATCTCCACGCTCCTGACCTATTAAAAAAGCATATAATTCACTCACAAAATTAACAACAAAGCTTCAGGTTACACTGCGGACATTAAAAAGGTCCAGAGCTCCAATTATTTGAAGCCAGCACAGAATGTTTAGAACCGTGACTTTTACGCAAAATTTGAAGTTATTGTGAATGACTGATTTAATGTCCTCGGCTTAAGAAAAGAAAAAATGTTGATGCATAAAAATAGACCATACAACGAAACAAAGTGTCTGATCCACTATGCAGCATGGCTCGCCAAAAACTATTCCCTCATGTAAGTAGAAAAGAGAATAGAAACAATCACCTTTCCATGGCTCATAGCCGGGAGTACTCTCCTCCTGGTTAACAGCTTCCAATCCCCTGGAAGGTGCGAGCTGAGGCGTAAGCTGGGTTGGGAGCTGTGATGAGATTTGGCCCGAAAGATGGCCTTGCATCTGAGCCGACATTGGTGTTTGCATCTGATTCTGCATCTGATTCGGAATCTGCGCCTGAAGCTGGCCATCCATGTGAGGCTCCTGCTGCATCAACTATTGAAGCAAGCATAGGATTCAAAAAACTGCTCCGTAATTCCAACTCATAGGTTCTCATTATCATTACCAAAATTCTCATGAAAAACAAGGTGCAGTTCCTCGTTGTCCAGGTTATTCAAGGAGTGAGAAGACCAGCTCAAACCACCGAAAAATGAAACAAACCTGAAGCATGATGTCACGCGGATCATGGGAGTCCATCGGCGATGGTTCGCTACCTGCAGCCCCAAACAAATCTCTGTTCACTGCATCTTCTTCTTCCCTTGCAATCAAGCCATCTGTTTCCTCCGTCAGACCTATCCTTGGAAAACTCTGCAAGTCTATTCTTACTAGCTAGGATGTGAGAACATTCACAAACTACACTACATGAAGATGATATAGGCAAAATTTCACTACTAAGCATGAAAGAAAAAACAGATTGTCTGAGAGAGTTACATTAATAATACCAACACAAGCTCTGTCTAATTACATGATATTGCATTGTAGATAATGCGCATGGAACAATGTGGATACAGAATAGCCAATAATTGTAAATATCTATTCCAGTAATGCCTGGAAAAAGTAACTAGGAAAACTTGTAGAGACGATAAACAGGCCAAACACTAGGTTTCTTTGAACGAGAATTATAAACTTGGACATGAAGTAAGAGATCTCATTTCGATGCACTCAAGCTAATATTCTCGCGTGTAGTCGAAATGTATACAACATTTAATAGAAAAGTTTAATTAATTGAAACAAGGCAACGAAAAGTTTGAGATATAAGCCTCGTCGCTACAATGACATAACAAGCGAATGCAAAGAAAATGCAAGGCAAACCAGTGTGGTCAGGAAGTATGAGTGTGTTCCCACATGAAAAACACGTTACCTAGTAATGCTCTCGGTGTGTCACTCCTCTTCTTGCCCTTCAGAGCATGAGCAGCCTCGATCATAACAGTTGGGTGACGCTTGCGAAACCAGTCCATCCAGCTTTTACCAGGTACTCCATTCCTAAATGGAGTCTCTCTTCCCTGGCACACATCTGCAACTTTCCTTCGGAGCATGTAGAACGTAATAGGATGTCCATTTCTTTGCATCTCTAAACACCAGTCAACCATCGAGTCTTCTTCCTCCTTCGTCAGAACAGTGCGAGGACCTTTCTTCTTGGAAGATGTTTTCCCGGTTAGCCAGTCCCGGATTGACGACTCGGGAATTCCGTACTTCTCTCCAATCTTACCTATGGAGGCTGTCCCTTTCTTGACCTCCTTAATAGCTTCCTTCATACTCTCTTCTGACCAATTCCCTCGCTGTTGTATTCTACGAGAGCTTCCCCTTTTTGCTTGCGTCATACCACCTCTCATGTCCTTCACTTCTGCACCTTCTCCCTGAGTCCCCCACGCCACCACTACAATCCCGTGCAACCTCAGCTCAAATTTCAAAACGATTGGCTTAGCACGCGGAGATCAACACAACAATATGCACGCTCAAGTCCAAACTTCGTAGACGACGTTAGACCTAAACAAGACCCATCGCGACACACAGGCAGAGCGACTGCACTTACCAGAAAAATCTCTTCCTGCAGCGTCTCCCTCCTGTTCAATCATCCCGCCCTGATTCAACCATGCCACACAATTATATCAGCCTCCAAAATTACCGACTACATCTTACCTCCTATGCAGCCCAATGCCAGGCGTTCGATGCAGCAAACCGCTGCTCGGCGATGATTCCCGCCATGCCAACCTTCGCGTCGACAACAGACCTCTACACACAATCCAATAACCAGCACCAAAGGTCCATTCCATTTTCTCGCTCTGAACTCCATATATTTATTTATTTTCTATTTTTTGTTTTTATTCTTTCCTGTTCCCTTGACACTTCCTCTACCACTCCGAAAATTTTCCAAAAACTGAACACCCTAACTGACCGCAACTTCGCCAGCTACGGCTCATCAACTTCAATCTGCCGGCACAGCGCACATCATCTGATGCCGTACCACAGCTAATGTCGAAGCTCAGTTCTTAACTCGGGCATGGCGGTCACAGTGCACTCTCTCAACTCGTTCAAACCCCAGCACCCTTCGTAAGAAACGAGGTTTTCCACGACAAAATCGCAACCGGGACTTCATACCGACTACAGATTCCACACAAAGTACACAAAATCATTCGGAAGTAAATAGCGTACCGAAACTAGGACCGTAATGCCGCGGAGCCAAAGGTTTTGGCACGACTTGCGATCGTCGGCAGCGTCGAGAACCCTTCACCGTCTCTCACCACCTTGAACCGTGACAAGCCCGTGAGGAGAGGAGACGAGGTTTTGCCCTCACCGCCGTCTGCCGCCACTTACCGCGTAGTACAGCCGCGGACGCTTGCGCGCGGCTGGTCCAGGCGTTTCCAGAGGCGTTCGCTGTGAGAGGGGATCGATCGTGCCTCCCCTCTTGAAATTTATATTTTGTATTTCGAAAAAGTTTAAAGTTGATGTAAACGTAAAAGTTTAAAGTAAGACTTGGAGTGTATTGCATTGCAATAATACTTACAAAATATATAATAATAGTAAAAATAATTATGATAATTTTTAGTAAAGAAACAATTTACATTCCTACATAATGTTTATTCAATAACAGTAATTGCTAAATCTGAACTAAGAATTTGAATATTACAAATACATCAAATTTGACTGAAGTGTAAAAGAATTTCTATATTGAAATTTCTGCACTACTTATCCTAAATTTTATTATATTCACTATTACCGTATTATTTTTTCAATTACATATTTATTGTATTTATAAATAATCGAATAACATAAATTTGTCAAATAATTATGTTCAACAAAAAAATCATTGTACTTAAAAAAGAATTACACATTTATGCTATGTCCACATTATGTGTATGTTAAAAGATGTAATATTTACTTCAATATTCAAGTTATTAAATAAAGTATGTGATTCAAAAATTCAAAACTTTTAAAAAATTTAACAACATATTTGAAAACTATTCATTGTAATGAAATATAAAATGGTATTACTATATTCAAGCTTTTGAATTTCTAATGTAAAAATATTATAATATATGTAGAGAGATAAGTAAGATATTGAATAGTTTTTTTGTAAATAATTGATTAGTTCTGTGATTGTAGAGTGCTATGTAGCCAAAGTGAATCATATTGTGTAGAAGTGTTGGACTAACTGATTGAAGATTAGTTAATAACTGTCAGAAGGTAAAAACCAGAATAAACATTTAATGATGATTCAAAAGTCACTGTCAAACTTTAACACAAATGGATAATAGAATGACTTCTGAAGGTTTAAACTAAATAACAAGCTCTTGTTAAGCTAATGTAAAAGTAGAGCAGGCACATGGTCAAAATTCAAAAAACATTTTGCACAGGACACAAAAATATATGTTTGCCAGATGGGTCACATTTACTCATCTTGTGTTCACAAAAAAAAACAAACAAACAAACAAACAAACAAAAACAAAACCGACTATTGGCAACAGTTTTGTTGCTAATTTTCTTTTTGTGCCGACAGAGAGCTGCAATATGGTGTGGATATCTCAATCGCCGTCAGCCCTCTCATGATCAGTTGATGATGTTATTTAGCTTAAGGGCAGCTGGATATATTCTTTTGTTTCTATACAGAATTAGCAGCGTCTTGGCTACATAATCATAGACATGTCAAACTATTCTGAATTGGGTGAAAGTAGTCGCTGGATATCCACCTCTGTCACCTCGGTCATTAGAAACTTAAGAATGCAAAGTTGAAGCAGATAGATGCTCAAATTCTACGAAACTGGTCTAATGCACTCTACCAGAGGTGGGGAAGCTGCGTACATTAGAAGTGCTTAGTTGGTTATAAACCTGCAGGGTACTGCTGCAGTAACATCAGCAAAGAGGAGTGAATCTTACAGTGTTCACTCTGTGCAAGATGTTCGGGCAAACCTTGCTTGGTGCAGTTGATCGCATGTAGACCCTTGAAATCCAGCATGTCGAAGTCGAGGTTGCTCAGAAACAGCACCAAGGTCTGTTTCGTAGCGTGTGCTGAGCACACTGATATATACAGAAGTGAGTGAGATTTGCTTATCAAATCGCAAAGAGAAGTTTACCACCAGAATTTAGAGGAATAGGATACTTCCGTAATGTCTGATTCAGCAACTAGCCGAAGGTTGTCACTGCATAGCACGGAAATATAAAACTTGTTCTCACCAAAGTATGGATGAGTGCAAGAACAGGTGGATTGGAGGCCATCCTCTATCTGTGAGTCTGGGACATTTATTCATGAATTATCTGACCATGACCAGTTACAGGATTCCTGGTATCGAATTAAGTGCGAGGATGTGATGTTCCATGAAGAGAAATTCTCTACACGTCTTTCCCTGTTTCCGATGGTGAAGTGCCGGGGGAGGAATCTGCTTAATTACACACCAAAACAAATGAACCCATTGCGTTCAAGAGGATTGTTGAGCTTGTGAAGTCGATGAGAGTATTATTGTTTATCTAAAATCCATTTTTTTCAGTTCCACTTAGGTCACTGTTTTTGCTGAACTTTCAAGCACGTCGACGTTGCGCTCATCGAGATGAAGTAAGTATAAGAAGCACTCTCACCGCTAATGTACTTCACAGATAACAACACCACCGCTTTTGCTCCTTCAAACTAGAACTAATTCTCATTTGGCGACCAAGGCAAGTCAGTCCAAGTGGATAACAGAACTCAAAGGAGAGTGGTGAACCTGGTCTAGAACTTAAGGTGAAACGAAGTTTAGTTTCCCGTGCAGATTGAGTGTCAAGGAGTTTTAACCCACGAACTCACGCAATCTACACCATACTGCACTGTTTAGGCACTAGCATCGACAAACGTACACATTCACACACACACACACGCACAATGTACTCTATGTGCGGAAGTTGAAAACATTCTTGAGTTTCATTTTATCCAAAAATGAAGTTGTCTACATCCCGAAGCGGGTTCCTGAAATTTACGTGCCCAGTTTACAAGATTCTGGCGTACTTGCATCATGATATCCTGCTTCTCTAACTCTTCGTACAGTCATGGTACACAATCCTTTAGATAGCAACACGCCTACTAGAATGGTTCCTGGAAGCATAATTTTCTATTTTGACACTGTAATGTCACGACAACTAAACCTCGTCTCCGTCTCTATCTCCGTCTATCGAAGAAAATATACACCTGAAAAGTAATTGTGCTTACACAAACCTAAATGACTAGTGACTGCTCCTTGAAAGCCTTGGAGCACCCTACCCAATTACGCACAAACACCCACATCGGGATGCAGCAATTGTCTCGACTCGAAACAATCAGTACAACTTACTAAAACATTCTCCCTTAGGATGGTAGAGTTCACGAGTAATATGCTCCAATGCTGTAGTGCCGGCAGAGCTTACTGTAATCCAGTCTGTATCGTATGTACATGCGAGTTGCATCGATTGCGAGATTCGAGAGCGAGTACACAGGATCAACACCAGTATATCGTTGGACGGCCACGAAGATTGCAAAGGACACAAGAAAACAAAGCGCTATGGGGTTCTTCATTTAATTATTTTTTTCTGCTTCGCAATAACGTATGATGTGCTCACAGCAGAAAAGAAAATCTGTTGAAGCGCTCCCTCAAAAGTCCATCAGATCAGCTAATGCAATGCCAACTCCTCCTGTGAAGTTCCCGCTCGTGCACCTGCCGAGGTCGCGGTATTCAAATCATGAATGAGATTGAAGACCGGCGAGACAGCTTTCAGCTATGGCACCTCAATCACCAAGTATACACCCGGTAGATTCATCAGCATTAAAACTGCAGAATGTACAAACATTCAAATTACTCAGTAAACTATTGCGAAAACAGGAGCCCGTCAATGGCAGATATCGACGTTTCCAAGAAGTTCACAACTTGAGCCAAATCACTACATCTCTCCCCACTTTCATGCATAATTTTCTCACCTCGCCTCTCAACGCCCCTATGCCAATTGATCGAATCCCGATCGAGACCAAACGACGTCGCCCATGAGACCTACTTCTAGAAGAGTCTACATTTCAACCTAGAAGTACCTCCACATGAGCAACAACTTCATCACCCTAAGCAAATAGAACAAGACGGCGTTTGCCGGAGAAGACTCGAGTCTTGGACGGCCTGTGATGGATACGCACGGAAGGTTGTTCTAAACCACGTCAAGTCAACAAACCGCACCTGAATTTTGTGCATTTCTGTGTGGAAATTTGAGCGAGCTCGTGATTAATAATAAAAACTGACCTCGAAGGATGGAAAAGTCAAGCTCGCTATCGTGGAGATCAAGCAACGAAAGATGATCGTCATATGAATTCAGTATTGAATGCGTGAATTCCGTGGGGATTTGATTCGTGAGCTCCACAGTCCAAGGCCAATAGAAGTAAATCATGGAAGTTCGAAGACCAGACTTCACCAATCCCGCCCAAACGTGCCCCGCCAACGTGCCTCGATTTCCCTACGAAAGTCTTCCCACTGCCCAAGTCACCCAGTCCCTGCCCAGAATCTGCCGTAAAAATCTGCCCTCAGCTCATACTAATCAAAACTTCCCTGCCCGCTGCCCCTGCTGGCCCTGCCCGGCAGCAGCGGCTCCCGCCTGTCGGCAGCGGGCCAGTCTGCAAGTGCAGCCCAGTGACATGAAATATAACTTATTTATTATAATAATCATGAATAAATGAAATAAATATATTACGAATATTGTATCCAATATAAAGAATAATACATCAGTTAACATATTATAAATATAATGTGAAATAATAAATTCCATTATTAAATTTATATGATGAAATTATAAGATCAGTTAAATATTTAAATTTAAAATATATATATATATAATAAAATTATGATTATTTCAATTTTATATTATTATTTGATTTCCTTATACATAATATATGTTTTTATTAATATGTGATATATATTAGTTGAATTATGTATGTTATATATTACTTTAATTAAGTATATTGAATATGATGGAGTATAATAATTAAATCTTAATTAAAATATTAATTTCTAAAAACTAATAATATCCAATAATTAGTCAAAAAGATTGATACTAACTCCATTTTTTGGTGCATGATTAATAACTTCTTGTTTCTAATAAGCAATCTATTTTTATTAAATTTTACTAATTAGCAAAGACAATTAAGAAAGCCCACAAGTCTATATATATTTAGACAAAGCAAGCTCATAAAGAGTGATCAGCTTAAAGTATAGAGCCTTGGCAAAAATGATTTCTATCATGTTTTTAATGTCACACATTTGATGATTATAATCCTTAATAGTTATATATTTTTAGTGCAATAAATGATGTTAATTAATAGCAACATATATAATAGCTTGGGTATAGGATAAAGAGACAAAGAAGCCTTCTTATTGGCTAAACATAGAAATGAGGAAACATAGATGAATAAGGGAGTCAATAGATGGCAGTGCCAAAGATTGTGGTGCCCAACAACATGGGTTTTTGCTTGTATATATATAAGTTAGTAAAATATTTGTAAATTATAGATTATATATAATGTAAAATTATTTATATTGTGTCCAATACTAATTAAATATATCCATTCAAATAGAATATTGTACAATTTCAAATCATTGGGATAAGTTTATATTTTTGAGCATTGGATTAGATTATTCAATGATAGCAAATGAATTGAGTTATTGATTTCTAGTTAAGAACCAAGTAGAAGCAAAATATTTGCTACATTTTTGTACTATATATATATATATATATATATATATATTTTAAAAATTATATGCAAAGATATTATAGCTTCTATTAGTATTTAAGATCAATAGGTTAAAAAATTTATAAAATACTAAAAAAATGTATTAGATTTTTTTTCTTCTATATATGTGTTTAAAAAACAATACATTCTTATATTATCAAAAGAGAGAAAATAAACAACTAAAAAGTATATATGTAATTAAAACTATAGTGGCTATTACCAAATACAAAAGGACTAGGAAGTCTTAAACCAAAATAGAATACAAAGAAGACATGGATAAGAGTGAGGAAGGCATCACTCTTGTCTCCATATGTACTACTTATTAAAGAATTACATGGCAATGCCCTATAAACTATATAACATGTGTCTAAGTTGAAAGACAAGTTTTTGATATATATGTCATATGGCCGACTTTAAAGTCAAGTTGCTAAATGTGTGACATGTGGCCGATTTGTTGGCCAAGTTGTCAACCCACCAATCACTTATAAACACATGTGATGTTTACAAAGCTTCTAAGATTCTTAGCAATAAGATATCAATAATTTAACCAACTTCTACTTCTAATTCTTTCTATCTATTTTTATTTATCTAAATATATATGGCTATCCACTATATATGGCTATCCATTACAATTTATATGCTTTATAAATTTTAATTTTGATTTAATTATTTAACTATTAAAATCTTTGATTAAAAGAATGAACATATTTCTATTTAATAATTAAAAAAATAAATATATATAATTTAAATTTCTATTAATATTTTTTATATTAATAATATATACATATATATATATATATATATATATTAATAATTATCATTTATCATCAATTCTTCAAACATTATAAGTTGATTTTCTCAAGATTAGGTCGTAGACTTTCTTATATATCTAAAAGATCAAAATGATACTATCTTATATTAGGACCTTAACAAAAAAATAATAATCTATCATCTTTGCTTGTTATTTTTAATAATATAAAGCATTTTAATTCAATCTATCTTCAAAATTTATATTAACTTTTTTGTTTATAATTTAGAATTAAAATTTAAGATGTTCAATATTAGTCAAATGTAATATATATCTATATATATATATATATATAACGAGATCCTATCATATGAATTGTTTCAATTGAAATATTCGTTTGGCATTCACACCATAAACTTCACCATGAAAGAGTGACGACAATTTTCACCCACCCTTTCAAGGACGATGAAAGATATGTTGGATCACGGCGAACGAGTTTCATCCAATATTGGGAACAGATATTCTCAATATTGGGAACTGCCGCACATCATTCACAGCAAACCATGTTTAGGGTTTAGACCCACGAAAATTCTAGATCCGAATATCGTTGGATCCCGTGCTGTGTATGTGAAGGGCACTGCGCGGCGTTGCTCGTGGTGCTCGTCTTTCCGTTGTATCGATCGAGGTCATGAAAAAGTGTTCACGGGGAGATTGTGAATTGGCTTCAATCGCCACAGAATTTTCGACGAGAATGACGGCGAAACTCGACAATAAGCTCTGTTAAATGCGAGTAGTTTTTGTTCGAAGTTCAGGTGGCTTTCAGAATTTGCTATTTTCAAAATGGTGGAGGAAGCTGCTGCTCGCGTTGCAGCTCTAGAGCAGCGACAGCTTTTTATTCTTCAATCCATAGCCAATCTGGAGCTTCGGTTGTCGGGTATCAAGAAGTTAGAGTCGAGCGGAGGCCATACGGGCTCCTCTGCCGGCGATTGCACGTCCGAGGATCCTATTGAACGCCGTGAGCCTGCGAAGACTCCCATTTGCGACGTAATGATTGAATTCTTTCTTATTTTTATTTTTTTGAATTAGATAGTTGGCTGAATTCGTTGATATTGACATTTCGCATTGAAGAATCGTTTTTATTGTTCTCGTTTCCTTTTAAGTTTTTATTTATTATTTAGTTTTATCTTTCTAGCGCTTATTTGTTACGTGCACTCTGCTCTCGAACTTCATTAGTTGTATTGGTCGTCCTGAGACTGATGAGTACGTTTGGTCGGATGCTACAGATTGTCGAGCAACGGCTTTCAAAATTGTTACAGGCTGCAGGGGCTTCTGAATTTGTTTTCAAGACAGTTCCTTCAGACTATTATGACAGGTCATATGAACAACGACGCGATCTTCTAAGTGCTGCGTCTGTGGACCACCTTTGCAAAAGCATTGTTATGGTGAGGCTGTTATGTTCACCCTCTTATTTGGCTTTTTGATGGAGTTTTTGAGATTTTGCTCGTGATTTATTGGATTAATGCTTGAGAAAGATTCGAAAAGGAATTTATATATGAGGACACTGTATTTCTTTCTTTGAATATTCAGCTGTATGGATGAGTAAGAACGAAAAGGATTCCAATACAGAGCTCCTTATTTGGGAGCCTCTTTCTCAGGTGAATGTGCGCGTTGTCGTGATGATCAGTTTGAGCGTTACATATTGTGAATTGCGCTTACACCACAGATTCAGTTTTTGTGGCCGCAGAAATACCCTGACAAACTCAAGTTTTCTTGCAGGTAAATACACAAGCGCACGAAAGTGTGAAGGATTGTAGTGATCGGAAGAACTCGAAGTATTATGTTATTGTTATACAGGTGAAATTGCGTCTCACCTAATCCTTGATAGTGTTCGATTGGCCTATTTCTGTTTTATTGAATCTCATTGTGCGTTTTGTCTAACATGAGTGCTCTCGTTGAGAGTTCTAGATAAGGATGCATTGTGTGAACTTTCGAGATGCATTGAACTACATTTGTTGCAGACTTTCTTGATCAGCCTAGATATCATCTTCTATTGAGAATTAAGAAGGTTTTTCTGATCTTAAGGAGTCTGGTTTTCTAAAGTTGATATTATTCCAACTTCACTGGTTTGATTCCACGAATGTATTGAAACGTGTTGTGGTACAGTATACAGCGCGTCTTAACGCCGAAAAGGTTAAAGCGTTCGTTCATTCCCTGAATGAGGGGAAAATTCCCAAGAAAAGATTTAACTGTAAGGGTGTTCAGATCTCTCCATTTGAATTAAACAGGTCACAAGCTTCATTTAATGCTAAAAAAATAAATAACACTGCTACGTTCCCGAAGATTTAACTGACTGTCTTTGTCGTTGGTGACATGTATTAAATTTCCAATCCTGCAGGCATTGTTAAGTCAGAGAGGTCCGTGTAGTATAATGGATGAAGACGAACGTCTGAGCCCTTGGTTCATAATGACCGAGTTTCAGTTCAAAATTGTCTGATTAGATAAGAACATACAGCGTTCTTATTCTGACTAGTGTTGATTGTACTCGTGCATGTTAAGTGCGTCTTGCTCCAGAGGAAGAGTCCAACCAACTGACTGGCTTTGAACACAATGCTGTTACACCTATTGGAATGCGCACGGACATACCTGTAAGCGTTGGTGCATAGCTTGCTTCATGTCTTGTGATTAAACTAGGTTAAACATGTGACGCTACGTCAATTTAAACGAAGAGGAGACTCTGTGGTCGATGCATTCTGGGATCGTCTTTTCTTGGTTTATCTCCCATTTAATTGTCATTTCTTCCAGATGTACACGAAAAGTTTACACAAGTTACGTGGTTAGGATTCAGGGGTGCTTGTTTGCTCATGGACAGACAATGTTCTGGCTAATGGCGCAGGTAATTCTTTCAGACGCTATTGTACAGCTCAGCCCACGATTTTTTTGGCTTGGCGGAGGGGAAGTGGATTTGAAACTGGGTACTAAAACCGACGAGTTTATTAAAATTGTGAAACCATTTATCACAGATTGCACTTATTAGTCAAGTATAGTATACATCCATTCATGTGCACTCAGATTCTTGGATTGAACAATCTTTTTTGAATTGTGGTCATAACATGGTAGTCTGCAAGTCAAGTGCCTAAGATTTCTTCCTGAAGCATGTTAGTTCTTATGAAATTTTGATCAATTTTCTTTAGATAATGTATGGTCAGTCCTGTCAATTCATTTTTGCAAGTTCCCCTGTGAAATTTGAAAGGTTTTAGTATTTTTATCTTTTTTAATGTCTGCCAATAGCCTGTATTGTTTATCAGCCAATAAACTGATAAATCTATTTATTTCTTTTCATACACCTACACTATTTCGTTTCCACAATGCCTAATTTTTACATAGGAATACAGTTAAAATCCATCAAAAACATGGTACGATGGCTAGAACATAGTGGTAATTGATGCGACGATAACATAACTTCGATGCTACAATTTGATTTGATAAAGACGAAACACAGTTATTAACACTCATCTTGTGAGGAAATCAATGATTGTATGCACTGCTATACATGAGAAAAGTGATTGTGCAATGCTTTAGGACATGCAACATTAATTTGTGTACCATTTGTCCACACTATAAGTAACATATTGACAAATTTGGAAATGTGTTGATGAACATGCACATATTTTTATGAAATACTTTTAAATTGTGAATATGACAAAGTTTTAATTTTTGCCTTCTCTGAATTGAAAGCATTCTATAAAAATAGCCTTTCTCTAGACCTTAAAAAGATATGTTATGTTAAAAGTAAAGACATGCTCACTGTAGGACATTCACATGATCAAGTAGTGAAAGAAAACACTAATTTGTAAGGCATTGATACATAAATATATGAATTTTAAACAGTTAAATTAAAGTGATAAATATAACAAAAACTACTCTTGTGTTTAGCAATTCAGTTAATTTATTATTATTTAAGTTTTTGCATCATATCGCATAAGTTATCGTGTCTTATGATATAATATACACGAGTTTTCAGTTGGAGACAAAAAATGACAAGATATACAAGGAAGGTTTACAAGTTTTTCTATTAGTCGATACTTTATTTATGCTATTTTATCAACCACACAATCAATTTTTGTTCATATGATGTGTGTCTAAAATGAGAAAGTGACGACCTTGTCTTTGAGGCAAGAAAGCATAAACCAAACTTCCCGTGAAGTTAACAAAAGATATTGCATAGCAAAATGATTTTTGTCACTCAACAATGTACACATTTGCTGGTTCTTTAAACGACATCAATGTTTAATTTTAATAATACCCTCCGTGTTAACATGGATAAAAAAAAAAAAAAAAAAAAAAAAAAATCATCATAATCACCCAGATATTTTTACGAATAAATAATCCAAAATCAGAATCATAAAATGATGTCAAAACAAATTCACCTTGTTTCCGTGATGCTTGAGTCTATCTCGCAATACTAACGCCGCCAATAAACTTTTCACGCATCAAGCCCTAATTTCTACACGACAATTTCTTCCACTCTTGAACAGCGCATTGGAATCGCAATCAATCTTATGACGACGAAGGCATCAGAGCGTCACGAAACAGAACACGGAGAACTCATCTACACTCCGTCGATGAAGTCGAAGTATCTCTCTCCCTCTTTTCGTCATGTGACGTTTTCTGGCTGCATTGTGAAACTTGAGCCTCACCGTCACACCATGCTTGTCCGCATTGATAAGAGTTGACCCATTGCTTCGTAGGGCTGTCGATTAGCACTCCACTCGTGTGGAGCATATATGCAGTCGAGATCACTCGGATCGGCAACAAAAAGATCCTCTGATCGAAACCGTAGCCACACAAGCTCATGTCGTCCTCGTGGACACAACTGAAAAACGCACTGAATGAGAGAAAAGAGGCAACCATCCTATTTCGAGCCGCACCGATTCGCCGCTCCAGTACATGCCATCACGCTTAACAAAGCGACATCGAATTACGGGTAAGGCCGCATTAGTTAATTAGAGGCTTCTCAGAATGAACAAAGAGTATCATTTTCAAGCGGACATCGACTTATCTAAGTTCCCGGATCCCCGAACCCGTTGAGGGGCGCGAACAAACATCACGTCCATGGCTCACGGAGCACCCACCCACACGACTCCCAAATTTGCCACTCTGGGACACAACAACAGCAACAGCGAACACCTTAACAACCACCATGAATCGTCATCGCGACACACAATCGAGCTAGTAATTGCAAGTAAAGAAACCCTTGCAAAGGATGCGACCTCGGACTCCGCGAGCTCCAGCTACTCGTTCAGACTCGGGGATACTTTGACGGAGTTCGTCCAAAAGTGTTCCATCGGATATCGTCGTCAAAACGGATGAGTATCGTCGACATGTTCCAGATGGAACATGCGGGAAGGGGGTGGGTTCCCGGAGGAGACGACTTTTAGGGCTTGAGGCACCCTACAGCGGCCTTTCGCCCTGTTTCGCAGATCCATCGATTCTCATCTCTCTCTGCAACAATCGCCGCTCTCAGGCCGCTGCTGCTGCTGCTGTTGCTGCCAACAGCAAGGCCACAGCTCCTCGTCACGCCCCTCGTTTCTCCTCGATCTCTCGGTTCGTCTGTGAAGAGCTCGGCGCGCGTGCCCGTCGTCGTCGTCGTGCCTTTATCACTGATTCATCAGCATTTCGGTGGCTGTTTCGTCATAGTGTGCTGATTTTAATTTTAGTTTTTGGACGTCTAGAGTGTCTTTTTTATCGCGGTGTCTATTCGAGTGTTTCAGGGCGAGTGCTGTGGTGGCTTGTTGTGTGGAGAGAAGGGGTTAGCTTTTTTTTTTTTTTTTTTTTTTTTTTTTTTTTTAATTTTTTTTATTTCCCACTCTTCTTTTTGTTTTTTTGTGCTTTCTTTCTTTCTTTTATAGAAGGATATATTTTTTTCTGTCATTCTTAATGTTTTAGATATTATTTTTTCTACGATTTAAAAACTTTTTGGAAGTTCTAGTTTTGTTTAGTTGTATGGTATGAGCATTTTTGGGCGGCTTTAGTCTTGTTTACATCCGTTGCAGTTTATTGCGGGTGGATGCGTATCCCTCAGAGAAGTCAGAATTGATTTGCTCCTGTGGTGCTAGATTTTTTAGTTGGGGTTGCAGAGCAGTGGCGACTCAGGATAGAGTATCGTGATCCTGCTTGGTTCCTGGGCCTTAGGTCTACCTGTTTACTCGAACATCAGAAGCCTTGGCAACATTTTACGGTTAAGCTGCTAAAGAGTAGGTAAGATATATCTTTCCATTCGATCGTGGTGAGTGTTAGCTGATGAACTATGCCTCATTTCTAGGACGTGGTAAGGTTCAGAAACGCAGTACGGAGACCTTTGGTGGTGGCTGTCGCTCTGTTTATCACTGTGAAAAGTTAAGTCCTTTTAGTGTCTTTTATGTTCCTCCGTATCTTGTTATGAGTCATTCTGAATACTCAGATGTATTTCATTTGAAAGACCAGTGACAGTGTTCGGTCTATGTGTCGCTTAAGCAGTTAAATCTGTCAGTTAGGTTTTGGAAAGGTCGGTTTTGTTAAAAAGTCGTCTTTATCCGATCCACCACTTTTTTGCGCAGTGTTCTCATTCATTTTTTAAGGTTGGCTGTCGCCTTTCAGTAATTTAGTTGCCACTGGTTGTAGCTTCTATGTCTTCGTTGTGGTCTGGTTGGGGGTGGCAGAAATTCTAATCTGTGTTTCCATTTCACAGGAACCATGGCGTCTCCTGTAGCAACGGCACAAGTTGTAAGTTTCGGTCACATCTTCATTTGTATTCTTCTGCCTTGCAGCTTACATTGAAAAGTCCTTAAATAGTCATCATTTAGAGGTTTTTTTAATCATTCCATCCTTTCGCTGGCACTCCTACTTGATTTTCTGGGATGCCAACAGAATCTGAAAAGATATGTGGTGGCCATTCATTGTAATGTCAATATGGTTACGTTTTGATAGTGGAGCCAGTTTATGCCATTCATCTTCTGCAGTATTTGCATTGTTGAAGCCTTGATTTACCGAACGCTTTTATTTATCTTCTCGGTGATGCAGGTCGGAAATGCATTTGTGAACCAGTATTACAATGTACTACACCAATCCCCACAAGTAGTGCATCGGTTTTACACTGATGCCAGTCACATGACCCGAGCGGAAGCGGGAGCCGGTGGGGCAGTGGATGTGGCTCACACCCAAGATGTGAGTATCATTTGGAAACTCTTGTGTACAACATAGTCCTATCATCGTATCTAGCTGATGAGTTTTGATGACGTCGTACCGGAGCTCTTTCAAGTTGTGTTTTGGATTTATTCCCCATGCAGCGGGTACCACCCACTGCTCAATGTCTGAACTTTGGGACGTGTTGTAGTTCATTTTTCTTCTTTCGCGTAAGTCCATATGTTATGTGATTGTTTTTAAAATTTTAAAATTTTAAATTTCTTAGTCAATATAATGAATGCATAAAGTACAGGTGTCAAACTTGTGGTGGTAGTTTTGGTCATCACCTACCTTCAACGCCCCGCTGTCTACGTAGTAGGTAGCCATGTTTGAGGTGTAGGAGGGTTTGTTATTGTGAGAGTATTTTTAATCATTAGCTGTATTTTTTTTGCAGCAAATTCACCACAAGGTGATGTCCTCTGACTACAGTGAGTTCAAGGCTGAAATCAAGACTGTCGACTCACAGGATTCCCTGAGTGGTGGAGTTCTTGTCCTGGTCACCGGTTCTCTCTCAACCAAACCAACTGGAAAGAGGAACTTCGTCCAAAGCTTCTTTTTAGCTCCTCAGGAGAAGGGCTACTTTGTTCTGAATGACGTATTCCGTTACCTCGACGATGAAGAACAACAGCAGACGAAGTCTGTCCCCTCTCTTGCTAACGGTGTTGCTGAAGGTGCATACTCGCATCAACAGGCTCCTGAACCAGGTACATGTGTGTCCCTTATGTTGCTTGCTTGTTTCACTCTAGTTGTTTCCATAGTATTGCATCCACTAAATGTTACTCTGTATATGACATAATAGTTTGCAGATTTTCTGCTTGTATCTTCCTCAAATAAATGACGATTTTCTGCTTTTGATGCACATCTCACCAAGCTTAGGTATCTTTATTGATTATCATGGTAATAATCCTCAATTGTATGATTTAATTACATTGAAACTGAAGTTGATATGGTCGACTCTATGCTCAGTTGTGGAGCAACCTACTCCAGCTCCAGCGCCAGAAGTTGTGAGGGAAGTCACTCCCGAACCAGTTCCCGAGAACGAGGCGACAGCGCAGGAAGTTTTCGATGATGAAGGCTCCACAGGAGCGGAAGAAGAGAAACACACTGGCCAGGTTCCTGTTGAGGACAACACTTCTCCCGTAATTGAAGAACCTGAGTCACCAATGGTGCAAACAACTCCAGTCAGGGACAATCCTGTGCCTGTTCAGGAACCAGAATCAGTTGGTGAACAGCCTAAGAAGTCATATGCGTCTATTGTAAGTTTTTGCCACTTTTTCCGACAAGAATCCTCTGTCATTCCTCCGGTACATGCTAGTGTGAAGTAACTTTTCGATGGCAATGTTTTTATTCATTTTATGTTGTCTTATTGACGGGTTCCCTGTCGCTTCGCACAGTTGAGGGTTATCGGAGCGCCTCCTCCTCCCAAGGCTCCTCAACCTGTTGCTGAGCGTCCAGCAGCTTCATCCGCTCCTGCTCCTGTCGTAGCTGCACCATCTCATGATAATCATGAGGATGCTGCCCCTGTTGAAACTGAAGGTTTGTGATTTATCACTTATGTATGTGTCTTCGGATTTTGCTGGGCACGAAATCAAGCATTATAATATCTTTGTCCCTGTGCAGTGTTCTCGATGGCATTGTGTTATTGAGTGTTTATGATTTTTTACCTTCGCATTATGAGGTCTTGGATAAAGAACCTGCCAGTTCAATGTTATTCTGAGATACTTCTTGTGTTTCGATGCAGCTGATGGGCGGTCAGTTTATGTGAAAAATCTCCCGATGAACTATACTGCCTCTGAATTGGAACAAGTATTCAAAAACTTTGGACCTGTCAAGCCGAATGGTGTCAATGTTAGGAGCCAAAAGGTACTTTTATACAGTATCCGTCACCTTGTCCCATTCGAATTATTTGCTGGCCATGAAAAACCGACGTTTCCTTCAATTTTGCAGCCTTGGAACTTGTTGCAAATGTGAGATTTTGATGTATTGATTGACGTTCAAAAGGTTGAAGTTTTTACTGATTAATAATAAGTTCCAATACGGTCGTGAGCAGCAAGGCGTTTGCTACGCGTTTGTAGAGTTTGAGGAGGCAACAGCTGCACAAAGTGCAATTGAGGTGAGACTACCATTCGCCTGTTTCACGTGAAGGAAAATATATCTTTTCCTTTATGTTACCATGCTACTGCTTTTTGTTTCATCCTAAATATAGTGCATTTTCTTGTCACTGAAGTTACTGAATTGTTACTCCTTGTTCTGAATGCAGGCTTCCCCTGTCCAAATCAATGGTCGCCCGGTTTACATCGAAGAAAAGAAGCCAATGGGGAGAGGTCAGTTCAGGCTGAATCACTGGTCCTCTTTCCCTTCATTCGTGTTCGGTTTTTTTTTCCTTTCAAACCGAGTTCCCAGCTCCTCCTCTTCTGTGAAATTTGGTTGTGCACATCGATCCATTCTCATAGTTTTGTGCATTTTGCAGCTCCAAGACGTCTAAACGACACCCGGAGCGATCGCCCATATCGTGGAGATGGAATAAGAGGGCGTGGATCATATAGTGGGCGGAACCCTGGTAGGGGTTCAAGTCATGACACACGAGAACGCGATGGTAACAGGGGAGGACGTGGCTCAGGGCCTGCACGTGGTGGTTACTCAACATCAAATAATGGAGGTGCACCAGCTAACAGTGAGAGGCGTTCTGAAGGGCAAAGGGCACCCAGGCGTGTTCCCAACGGACCTGCCTCCCGCAGTAATGTCACCCCTCCAGTTGCAGCTGCGTGAGACTGGCTACCAGAATCTATTCATTCAGCTGGTGCATTTTTGACTTCGAATTGGTCAGCTTTGCAGCTCTTCTTTGGACTCATGTTCCATTTTTGTTTGCTTTCGGGGTTCATTGGGTAATTCCGATAAGAATAGCATGTGGAAGCAAGGTTTGCAATTAGTGCTATCAAGATTTGCATGTAGTGCTAAGTAGAGGTTTACACCCGCCCCACTGTCATGATTTCTAGTGAGACTATCTTAAATTGTAAGACCATGATTGGTTGATAGGTTATCTTAACATAATGGATACTCTGCTCATAGCTGTTCCTGTAGCATCATTGGTTCATATATGCAACAGTTCATGATTACTTCATTGGTATTCTTTGTATGAAATAGTTAGTATCGTCTTAGTATTTGAAGCTCTAATGCGTTGTGTTCTGGACCTGGCTACTGTTTGTTTGGTTTGGGGGATAAGCCCGCAACATTTATGCGTCACGTAACGACAATGCTGTCTTAGCATATGAAATATTTCTGTTAATTTTTTATTTTAGAATTGTTTACAACATTGTCAATTTTAATGTACGTTCTATTAAACTATTATTATTATTAGGATAGTAATATCGCTCATTTGATATACGTATAGTTCTTGAATAGATAGATAATAATTCATATTAATTTACTCTTCTGTTCTTATAGCACGCAATGACGTAGAATATGTGGCAAAAGAATGCTTAACACAACATCCAATACAACAATGTTAATCCACCAATAACACTTTGGTTTATGGTTTGTAGCAGCTCTAAATTTTTACAAGGCCTTAGAACGAGATGCAAGTTTCAGAAATAGCCATCATTATCCTCCCACATCAGTGGTGGCTTAGTGTCATTTCTGTCTGTATACTTGTACTCTTTAACTTCACAGAAATTAGAGTATTTTTCTTAATAAGTAATGTATTCACAGATAGTCATATTCCTACTAAAAAATCTCTAGAATTATGTGAATGTATTTTATAATGTCTGATTTAAAACAATCACTAAGCAAAGTTACGATTTTTACCATTATCCAAGATTGTTGATGAATACTACCATATGTTGTATCAATAAGTAAAGTTCATATCTTTTCCAAACAGAGCAAACTACTTAAAAGAATGATTTTTGATATGTTTTTGGATTCGAGTCAGATATGAATTACTAATTTAATATCTAGTGAAGAATTGTTCCAATCCACTACATTTTTTAAATAGAAATAGAATGAAAAGAACATTTACTAAATCCTTTGTAACAAAAACTATCTGCTCAAGAAGCGGAAGTCAACAATACACTGAAAAAGTATTAAAAATGACATGTCTTCTAATTGGACTCACTGTCAAATTTCTCGTCAGATTTCGAGGAACAAACCGACAAAGAAGTTTATTCATGTCCTAGAAGGAATAAACACAGAGAACGGAAAGAAGGACTAGGAATGAAAAAGATAACGTAGAAATGGATGGGAAAGAAAAGGAAGAAAGAAACGGGGTGGAGTTTCTTTTCGAGAGATGCATGGACCAGGTGGCCATAACCGCGACCGGAGTGGGCAAAGGCCGTGTGCCCATAACCGTGAAAATAGCTTCTCCCAAAAGCGCCATGTCCAAGGGAGCCTCGCAATGCACGAGAGTCACTGATGATTTGCACAAGTGGACTTGAGATTGCGGCAATTGTGTTTACAGGTTTGTGCGACACGAGCGTTTCGCGACAACGGAGCATCGCATGCAAATAGTGCTGTATGAACGAATTTGAAGTTTCGTTTGGAGTGCGATTTGCGTACAGATAGTCGCAATCCCTGGTAGAATTCCGTGTAGCTTCTCGTCTACAGGTCTTGGAGTCCCGTGGCTTGTTGCAAGGGCTGGATTCTTGTTGAATTGAATTTCAGGGGAAGTGTGCTAGGGTTGGTGCTATGTCGCACTCGCGCTGTGCGTCTGCGTTAATCAGGCGTTATTTGAGGAAAGATTTTGGGTTACGGAGTGCTGTGAGTGGGAGTCGTTGCTTGGCGACTTTGAGCGTGAGTGAACGCTATGAGCGGATGACGGGCTCGGGGAGCGCTTCGGAAGGGGTGGGATGGAGAGCGCGTGCGAGGGCAGTTGGAGGAGTGGTTGCGTTGACTGGCTTGATGAGCTTGGTGCAAATGCACCAGGCAGCTGTGTCGCGCTGTGAGAGTGTCCAGACGCAGATTCAAAATCCGATTGCTGTTGAGACAGAGAATCCAGCTCCAAGGTGTGTGTGTTCTCTGAGATTGGTTCTGGCTGATAATCTCCGTTTGCTGTAATCGTTGTACTCGGAAATGCATGCATGGAAAAATTGGCAGAGTTTGTGCAACCCTTGATAGTGCGGTAAGACCTGTTTCTATCGAATGTTTAGAATTCAAAATTAAACTATCATGGCGCAGTTCAAGGTGCTTTTCAGCGGAGACTGTGAGATCAGATGCAGTTATTTTTACTTAGTCGAAACACTACGTTCCTAAATCTTTTCAGGGACAATGTTACAAATTCGATTACTATATGATAGTTTGCCCCGCCAGTCTTTCGTGATGATTTCCGCCACGCTTGACTATCCATGCGTACTGATTTTTTCTAGCGTCTGCTTTCAGACCACATATCTTCGAGAGAGTCGGGGGGGGGGGGGGGGGGTAGAGAGAGAGAGAGAGAGAGAGAAGTTCGAAAGGTTTTTACCATACTGTACTTGATATTAGACAAAGGTTTATTACAGTTTATATCGGCCAACTGAGCGTTGGCATTCGACACCTAAAATTCTTAAAATCTGCATGCTTTGATCGTTACCTTCGTCACCATTTTCGCTCATACAGTGGTGCCAATTTCAGGTCTTCGTTTTCAGTATATTCTTCAGTGTGACGCCTTTTGTCGTTTATTAGAGGCAGATTGTGATGTTCTCAATATTAATTCGAGGATAACCTTACCAGTTGGAGTTCATAAACGTAGACGTCATGATTAGTGGATTCAATTTAGATTTTGTTGCGTTGGCTCAGAGCACATTGCCTTTTTGGAAATTGATGACAGCAAGGACGAGTCTCAGAGCTTCTGTGTTGGCAATGTAGCTCCTCTTCTTGCGGAATTGAGGGCTGCACTTGATGTAAGTTCCGTTGTCCCTACTACTAAATCTTCCTGGCCAACATTTTTTTTTTTTTTTTTTTTTTTTTTTTTCGTGCTGACAATGTTCTGTTGAGATACTATGTTCTCTTTCCTCTCTCTCGATTTCTCTCTCTTTCTCTCTCACACACAAACAGGGCTTATGTTCTTTAGTCTACTTGTAGGATCGTGTTTCCTGCTGTTCGTCCAACTGTCGTTTGTTTTTTTGAAACGTTTGGGTATATTTTTGAAGCTAACGCCATCTTGAAACTTCAGGAGGATCGGGTTGTTGTTGATGAGGAGGATAGAAAATTCCACGCAAAACCATGGAATACATATCACTCCGTGGAGGCCATCCCAGATATTGTAGTGTATCCAAAGTAAGTTAAAGGTTTTTTGTCTGGCGCTATCATATATATATGAACGTTAGAGTCAGCAAGTCGAATTTCTCACTTGGTCCAACCTACTTGGCAATTCCTTATTGGACCAGATGAGAGTTGTTCGTAGTTTTTTTTCCGAAAGGTGCGAAAATCAGCTTATAAGGTTTATATGACTCACTATGAAGAGTTGTCAAGTTAGATATGGTTAACCTCCTCTTCAGTTCATGCGTCCTGTGTGCTTACGACAGATACTGGAATATTTGTCATGGCTGGAGCACCTCTTTCAATATGTGTTCACTATGGCTTTCTCATCCAGGTCTCAAGAGGAGGTGGTTGCAATAATTAAAGCTTGTGCAAAATACAAGGTGTGCAGTGTACACCGAATACTTGTCGGAAGAAACTGCTTACATGCTTCAATTAAGTACTACGTGCTGTGCTGGATGATGGAGTTAGACAGGGTGTGGATTATCCCGCGTGTGCTGATCTGCGGTTGTTTGTTGCGCTCAGATCCCTGTAACACCTTATGCAGGTGGAACATCACTTGAAGGACACACTATGACCCTCAACAGAGGAGTAAGCATAAATATGAATTCAATGAAGGTATACATGAGCTGCGCACTTGTGGTTTTGGACAATTATACCATCCCTGGAATTCTTGCTTTTGAAAGTAACGTACACAATGTGATTTTTTACACAAGTATCTAGGTTTTCACTCTGCATAGGGTCTAATATCCTGCGGCAAACATCTCTTGACCATATAATTTGTCACGTTAACTGCTGGTAAATGACTTAAAAATCTAGTTGCTGAGGAGCAGCTTTTTCTTCTTCTTGTGATCTTCCCTTTCTATTCCCGCAAGGTATGAATGAAAGGATGAAAGATGATGTTTTGAACGATCATATGTTGGAGGTGTGCAGAAAGTCAAGGAGTTACATCTGGAAGATATGGATGTAATAGTGGAGCCAGGCATTGGGTGGATTGAGCTGAATGAATATTTAAAACCCTATGGCCTCTTCTTTCCTTTGGACCCTGGTAATATTGTATTTCTGTTTAGTCAAGCACCATGCTATGCCACTGCGGAGAAATACCTCTAAAGAGTATGAAGAGTCTTGATGGGAAACTTAATCAATCGATTCCAAAATTTGTCATGTTTGCATGTTCTTCTTTTCTATTATTCAGATACACATTAGTAGTTATTTTGGGAGTTGAAATTGGAACTGAAAACGTAAGTTGTAATTTTAAAGATTTATCACATGACTTGATGAGTCTATTCAAGCGTGACATGCTGTTGCAACCATGTTAGCACCTTATTAATTTTCTGCTGCATCTGCTTATTATCTTATGCTTATCCGTGATATTGTGCAGGTCCTGGCGCTACAATCGGAGGAATGTGCGCAACACGGTGTTCCGGTTCAATGGCTGTGCGGTAAGACGTCATAACATCATGTTTTATGACTATTAAATAAGATTGTCCATTTTAAAATTGTATGAAACAGGAACCGTGTTTGAAACTCACATTTTATCTTGTGAAGTAGCGAAAGCCTTTTCAGCAAAATATTGTACGAATGTGGCAATCACTTGCTACTAATAGAGGACCATATGTAACTCCCTTATGTGACTATTGCATACTTGATCTTCATGTCGGCCTGGAAGGTAAATGATTCAGCTTTAAGTCGAAAAGTTTGATTCGACGTAAACTTCGAGTGTACATGATAGTCTGGGTGTAGTGCATAAATTCTAAGAAAATAATCTTTTGTTGGTCCATGGCAGATATGGTACAATGCGAGACAATGTCCTTTCTATGAAGGTGGTTTACCAACATTCAACTTTTTGAATGTAAAATGATTCATAATTATGATCTAGATACAGCGTTTGCAGACGTAGATGGTGTAGAAAGAACTTTTGGAAGAGTTTTTCTGACATGGTGGCACTCAATCACTGATATCACCGGAACTTATCTCGCGGCTTAGCAGGCTGTTGTAGCAAATGGGGATGTTGTCAAAACAGCAGCTCGTGCTCGAAAAAGTGCTGCAGGGTAGGACTTTTCTGACTTCATTCCCATCTTTATACTTATAGCCTCCTATGCAGTTGAACAAAACGTCCGTGACTTATTTGTTTCATTAATAGTTTCTGTACTTGAATCGTAGTCAAGCTTTGTGTGCTATGATTGCAGATATGACCTCACAAGATTGCTGATTGGGAGTGAAGGTACGCTTGGGGTTATCACAGAGGTCACTCTGCGTCTTCAAAAAATTCCTGAAGCTACTGTTGTAAGTTCACTCACCTTCAAATATTTAAGTTCTCATTTGTGTACACATTCTGCTTTACTGAAGAATGGCACTGTAGTTCTTGGAGCCGTCCAATGCTTTTTTTTTGCGAAATAAATTCTGCGATGGGTCTCCCCAAGTTGAGGAGTTTACAATATATTCATTTGTCAGTGTCTTCGCTCCTTGTTTTCAGTGTCATGCTTTCTGCTTCGTGGTTTTGGGGTATTTAAGGTCAAAAGTGTATTACCTCCGATAGGTTTGCCCAACGCATTCTCTTTTTGCTGTTGATTGTTTTGGGCATTAAACAAGAAGTTTGCAGCTCTTTAAACCCTAGTTGCCCCGTAGTTTTCTGCACTTTTACAGAGTTATGAGGTTGGAATGCAATTATCTAGTATACATCAAATATAATTGAAACTGAAATGTTTACTTCAAGGTTTTCTTTGTCTATATGAATAATATGGTATATAATTCTAAGCACATGATTTCATGCGTTTTGAAAAGCATGAAGTCAAAATGCAGCCTGTTTAACAGGTCAGAGAGCATCTAATGTCCTCCAAGGCATTAAGAATTTAAGAGACAGTTAGGTGTTTTCCACTCTTGATTTAGTTCCTCAGTGCGCTGGGTGGATACACAGTGCTCTGTTACAGGTGCTGCTCATGATCTTGCCTTGACAACCTTTATTGTGATACAAGGATTTTTTTGTGACAATCAATCTCCTGCAAACTCAAGTCTTAGGATAGTTCTTAATAAGGCCATCCTTTATTTGGGTTGCGTGAGATCTCAATTGAAACTAGCTTTGACGTTCTTACAATCTAAGTTTTGCTGCTTTCGTTTGCTATTTCTACCTTGGTAAACGATTTTCGTGATTTGTTTTTGCTTTGCAGGTAGCTATGTGCAATTTTAAGAACGTTGGAGATGCAGCTGCTGTAGCAATTGCCTCCATGCACTCAGGCATTCAGGTTTTTCATCCTTCATACACATCACAGCTGTAATGCCATTGGGTAGTCTTAAAGTCGTGCTTCGAATGTAATAATCCTAGGCTTGGAGACGTTCGCTATTCTCGGGTAAATTTTATTTAGTATTTCTCAAGTTTGAATGTTAGTCTACTTGCTGCGGGCTTGTAAACGAGTGTAGAACAGTAAACCAATCCTGCCTCATCGTAACAGCGTACCTAATCCCTGTTTAATCTGGAGAGTTGCTATAAATGATATTTAACAAAAAAAATTGCAATTCTGAAATCATGCAATCTGATTCATCTGAGCTTACAAAGGGTGTTCGTCTTCAGAAGGCATTAAGGCAAGAGAAGTGGCATTGATTCAGGGCAGGTCTCACGAGTCGAGTTGCTGGACGACGTGATGATGAAGGCCATCAACATGGCTAACGATAAAAATTATCCAGAAAAGCCAACGCTTATGTTTGAATTAGTTGGAACAGGTTCGGTTCCTCCTTAAACATAAGCTTTTTAGGTTAACCTGGATTGCGAGCCATTCGAAACGAATAAGTTATGCTTTTGTTCGTATTGTTTCTTCATGATTGTAGTCTTCTGTTCTTTTCTATAGTCTTTAACATAAGGAATCCTTTTTTAATAGCTTGATGATAAGAAGCTCGAATTTGCGTCTGCAGAAGCCTATACCCAAGAGCAAACTGCAAGAATTCAAAGAATAGTTGAGGATCACAATGGATCGGATTTTGTGTTCGCTGATACACCGATCGAGAAAGAGGAGCTCTGGAAGGTATGTTCCCAAACGCTATTGTTCATTACTTATGGGGAAAGTGCATTTTTTTGTGAGTTGCAGCATTCGACTTGGTTTAGAGGTGATTTATGAGTATATGTACTTTAGATGTGCTGCAAGGAGATTGATGTTTTTTCCGGGAATGTGATTTGCGATTGGACAGATTAGGAAGGAGGCATTTTGGTCCACTTTTGTTCTTCGACCCGACGCTGAAGCTTTGGTGACTGTAAGATATTACATCTTGACATTGGATTTAATTAATCAATTTGTAATGCTGTTATTTCAGACTTCACTTTTTGAGGCATGATTCTATCGCGTAACGAGAACCAAACACCTGAGATGTTTTGTTTATTCTCATCGTTATATATCAGTTTAAGCCATGTAACACTTTGATAACTTTGAACGCTTACAAACATTCAATAATGTATCGCGGAATTAATCAGTACTTTTCCCGAGAAAAACTCATCAGCACCTCACATTATTATCCCAACTCTATTTTTATCAATCCACAGGAGAGACAGCACTTCTAATTGTATAAATTTCTTTAAAATTGACTGGCTAGGTAGATTGATATAGTTATTATTTCTCAGGCGGTTCCGTAGTAATTACATTGGTGATGATTGTAGGATGTTTGCGTGCCTCTCTCAAGACTCGCAGAATGCATCTCCGCTACCAAAGACAGTCTTCTTGCATCTTCTTTGCCTAGGTGATTTCAAGCTCTCCAATTATTTTGGACGGACCTCCGTCAACCATGCTGCGTACATGCTTCTGGCATAAACATCTGAGCGAGGCATTTTAACACCTTTTATAAAGTATCAAACAATGTTTTCTCAAACGTTCGACTCATCGATGGAGAACCATGTAATCTGACTAATGTTGATTTGTCTTGGCAGCACACTTCTAGCACATGCAGGAGATGGCAACTTTCACGCAATTATCTTGTTCGACCCTAAAAATAAAGAGGAGGTTGACGAAGCCTTGAAGCTCTCTAACGACATGGTGCATGCGTCCCTCTCTATGGAAGGTTTGTGTTATTCCTTCAATTTGAGCCTGTCAAGGATAGACAATGCAAAAGAACCATCTAGTAAATTTGTCATCTGCTTGCTTTGGCAGCGAAACTCGAAGCAAATATATCTTCTGTTGTAATAAATGTTGATGTTGAAATGTTGGGACAGGGACCTGCACTGGAGAGCATGGTGTTGGAATTGGGAAAATGAAGGTATTGTTGTCCAGCCAGTACAGCTATTTCTGATCTTCAATATATTATTTCAAATTCTAACCGTTCATTCATCTTTTCATGACAATACTCTCTAAAAAGAGTAGCTGTCAACCACCGAGGACACAATGCTCTTGCTTGATGTCCATCTTGATTTAAAATACCATTGGTCTTCTCTACTTGGTGTAATGAATAGATAAATAATTACCGCATGAATTGTTTGTTACTAAAAGAATGAGGGCATAATATTTAGCCATGTTATTTTATGCGTGGCTTTGATCAATCCAATGTTGCTAATAAATTTCTCTCGACTTGTACAGTACCTGGAGAAAGAGCTAGGGCCAGAAGCACTGAAGATGATGGGCACTATTAAAACCGCATTAGATCCCAGCAATCTCATGAACCCGGGAAAAATTATCCCCGAGAAGTTTTGCTACTAAATCAAAATAATGAGTTCTACATCAATTGTGTTTTCTACAGCTGCACCAAAGGATATGATGGATTTTTTTTTTGGGTAGATAATAGTTTTCGTCATATTTGATCTTTTGGTGTAAGCATGAAATGATTAAAAAGTTGCACAAATTTTGAGAAGCTCTAGTGTTTAAAAAAAAAGTTGCACTCCAGATTTTTAAAATTAAAATAAAATTTAATATAATAGACATACATTTATTCTAAGTAATTCTGTTTGCTTAGTGTTTTGTTCACATTTAAACATATTCTTATCTATTGTATAAAACATCTTAGGTGTAAGACAAAGAAGACTTCTCATTGGCAGTGATGATGAAGGGAATATGAGAAAGCAAGGCTTTCTGGAGTTCTATAGTCTAGAAGAGACGGCCCCCAGAAGACAAAGAGAGGATTTGAAGAGACAAATCATCCCCAAAAGCAATCCTAATGTGATTTAAGCTTTTCCATACCCAATAGCGCGAGTTTCCGCTAGTGAATATATATATATGATTTTGTACACTAAAATCTTGGTAATTCTTTGCAATGATAGAAGTTTCATACGTCAACACAACACCATGAAGGAACACAACACCATGTTTTTAAACGCGAGATTTTTAAAACAAATAATTCTTGCTGCTGATGACTGATAATTCTTATTTTTTGTGCACAGTTTTTTGGTCATCATCACCGATATTGTGACGATTCTGTGAGAATGATTGATATCTCAAGTTTTATGAGAATAAATCCAGTGTATTTCATACAAAAAAAGTTAAACATCGAAAAGATAATAAATTTGTGGTTATTCACAGTATCTCATTCCACTTCAGAATATGCAGAGAGATCGTTGTCGGTGTGAACGCGGATCCAAGGAATCCTGACTCTGAACCCACTGGAGCCATGAACCAGGTGTGAACAGAGCCTAGGCGTCCCCGAGAGTCACCCCTATAACCGGGTGGCTATAGCGAGGGCCCAAATCCGTCCTCTTTCCTCGCGTATAAACTCCCCACACCTCGTCTTCTCCGCCGAGTAATCCCACCACTCTCGTCTTCGTCACCACGCAATTCTTCTTCTGTGTTCACCGAAATGGCTCCTCTGAAGGCTATCTGCGTGCTCGCTGGCCCCTCCGACAGCGTTACCGGCGTCATCTCCTTTGTACAAGACGGAGCTGGTATGTATGGCTGCCAGGGTTTCGGGTTAGCATTATGCCTCGCGAAAAGTGATACTTGTGGAACAGAGGGGGATTGACTTTTTAAATCTCTCACTTGATCTTGTTTGTAAAAGATGAGGTTTAGCTGCGATAGAAGTGGATGACTGTGATTAGCTGTAGCATATGACATTAGTGTGTGACTAGTGAGAGTGTTTCTTTATTGAATTCCGAAGGTCCTCACTGACACACTGGTAATTGACAGGAATAGGATATTGGCGCGTATAGTTCAAATTATTCCTTATACCTTTATCCCCATGATATGGATAGGTTAGAATTAGTACTTGACATAGATACGCTTGCGTTTGATGTGACTGTCTAAGAAGAGATTTCTAGCTCATCTTTACGTATCTTAGCTTCTGATGTCTGGACAGGCCCGACGATTGTGGAGGGAACAGTGAAGGGGTTGAACCCTGGCAAACATGGATTTCATGTCCATGCACTAGGGGACACAACCAATGGCTGCATGTCTACTGGTACTACACTCATTGTGGCAATCTTGCTAGGGTATGATTACTTTATCGTTGGATGTCGGCAACTATGGTTATGCTCTTCCTGAATTTGCCTTTTAAGTTCTTTTCTCGGTTAAATCAGGTCCTCATTTCAACCCCAAGGGTCTAGAGCATGGTGCCCCCGAGGATGAAGTTCGTCATGCGGGAGACTTGGGTAACGTCATCGCCGGCGAAGATGGTACCCAAGTTTTACACCTTTGGCTGTAGTGCTATGGTTAGGGACAAGCTGGCGTCGACTTGCCCGAGTTATAGTTTGCAGCTTCCTTGATGTAGCTGGTGTAATTATGAATTCTCTCTCCTTCATGCTCTTTAATTCGGTTCTGTTTAGAGATTATCAACTCTTTTGCGTCTCTATACTGTCCATTTGTTCTTGAAAGCGGAGGACTGAACTTCACGTGTTGAACTCCATTTGGATTTCTGGGATGTTTGCAGGCATTGCCAAGGTTTCCCTGAAAGATGCTCATGTACTACTTCCGCAACACTACACTTTTCTTTTTAATTGGCTATCATGATCAGCTTGTTAACCAGGGTTTAGCATTTTTGTTTCTTAAAGATTAAATGATTTCAGTATGCATTGATTTCTATAATTTCACTCCGCAATTATTCTGTGTAGATTCCTTTGGGTGGTCCAAACTCAATTATCGGTCGCGCAGTGGTTGTTCATGCTGATCCTGATGACCTCGGAAAAGGTGAGTTGGAAGCAGGGTTAGGGTTTTTACCTCAGAGGCTCAATCTGAAAGCCTCTTTTCTATTGATTTACTGAGAGTATCATTTTAGCGTGTGGCGTTTGTACCGTTGCTCACTTGTTTTGTTCAATGACTTGTAGGTGGACACGAGCTAAGCAAGTCTACTGGAAATGCCGGTGCCCGCATTGCGTGTGGTCTGTATTCAAAAACACTGATATTTTAGTGGCTTGTAGAACTCTGAAATTTCACATTTGTAGTAGATTTGAGAACCACTTGGATAGGTTCATGCATCGTGTTGTCCTTCGTGGCAAACCCTGTAGATGATGTACTTCTAAAAATCTCTTTTGAATTATTGCAGGAATTATTGGATTTCAGGCTTCAGCTTGACTTGGAAATGATGATCAGCAGCTATGCCTTAGAGAGTTGTACATTTTCAACAGCGACGAGGTCGAAAGATCAAAGATAGGTCTGCTGTCTTTAGTACATTAGTCATAATATGATGCGATTATAATCAGTGACCAATGTTGCAGCTATCGGCCTGTGCCCACTTGCATTGAATCAAATGGATGTTTGCACCACAGTGGATACATATGGGAGCAAATTGTGGAGGAAATTTTCATAATATATATCATGCCGCATCAAATGCACTAGTTCTCATCCGCCTAATAAATGGCCCTTCCCCAGCTTAAGACAAAGAAATCCTTTGTACAAAAAATAGTCACTTATTCTTTTCAGGTCAAGCCCTTTATCTCATGTGACTGTGCCCAGTGCCGAGATTTTCACCCTTGTACATCTTTTCTTTCTGCGGCCTCAAAAGCCGTCTGTGAGTTGTCCTTATTGCCTGTTCCCATAATGATAGGCAACTCTTTATGTCATAGATTAACTAAACATCACTTGACATGAATCAAAGCTGTTTGAGGTAGACAAGCTTGGTGGTGAAGAATTCTACATCCTGACTACATCCAGACCAAAGGATAGTAGAGGTCCCTAAAATCGTATATCTATTGAGATTCTACATCAATGGGAGAGTATTTGATAAATTAAGTTATCTTGTGGGCCAAGCATAATCATTAATTTCTTTTTATTACCCCCTCTTCCTCAGCATTCGATTGTTAATCTTGTTACAAAGTTTATGTAATAGTTGGAGATGGTAATTTGTGAATTGGATATTATAATAAGTTTTGGGGTAGTGAATCATGTAGTAGCACAAATTTGTAATTTTGCTAGAGAGCGTTGTCATGTTGTAGTTTGGCTACTATGTGAAAACATTGTGTTTATATGTTTGATATACAATTTATTAAGTAACATGGTAAGAGCTATGTTTGTGGATTTTAATTGATTCTAGAATGTAGTTAGATTACTACTTTAAAAGGAGGTTGTTTAGAAGAACTACTATTAGAATTTACATAACTTTATTTTCTTTTAATAATGGCTTTTAAGATTAATTTTGATTGATAGTAACTTTTATATATTTAAAGTCACCTTTTGTTAGATATAGGTGATCCTTGAAGTCTTATTTTGTTTCTTTTATTTGATGTTTATGACATATATTATGTAAATCTTATTAGAAAAAGAGTTGGAGAGGGATCTTGGTAGCAAAAAGAGAAGTTAGGGCATCCATATAGATGAATGAAGATGGATGATGAAAATCTCCATTTCTGTTGGCCAAAAATTGTGTTCAATGGACTTCAAGGAGGCTGCCCAAGGCCTTATTAGGAATTAGAGTTACTTTTTCAAGGTCATTCAAGTTTTGAAGGCAAGGATCAACAAGTTTAGGATTTTGGCTGTGGTTTTGGTACAAATTTTGTGTGATTTGGAGTTTATATGAAAGAGATATGGGCACTCAAAGTTAAGGTGATGATTTTGTACCTACTATCACTCTTTTGAACATAATGCATACATACAGAAAGCAATGAAGGATCAATGACCGAAACTAAAGAGAACACTTTCTTGGTTACATTTTTTGTATATTGCTTAATAAATTCTAAGTTGAAATGAAGGAGATATTGGAAGTTGTAGTCAGCACTTCAAATCTAAAGATAGTAAGTAACTCGATTCATTAGTAGTTGTGTTTTGAGTTGTATCTTGAGCAATTTAACAAGATTTTGGCTCAAAATTTCCAAAAATGTATATAACCATGTTAATAATTTTTTTGCACAAATTTTATAGCATTTAAATTTTTGATTTTTGAGATATTAAAAAACAGTGCTCAGGTGCTTGTAAGTTAGGGTTTAGAGCACCTGCTAGGATTTTTAAGATGTCAAAAGATCGGTAGTGAATATACAATTTATTTTTTTGTAGTAAAGCTTAAGGATATCAACTATGTTATATAAAAATTTGAGAAAAACTTAATGGTTGGATCAAGAGATATAAATTTCTAAAGTGTAGAAAGAAAAAGTCCTTTGTGGATAAAATATGTTTTAAAGGATTTTGCTATAATTTGGGCAATTTATATAAAGTGAAGAGGTTTTGGAAGCCAAGACTTTGTATATAAGTTAAAGATGGAATAAATTACTTATTGAAGCTTAGCCAATAAGTTAAAACTAAATTCTCTATAGCTAGATATCACATGTATTCTCAGATTATAAATCACACTACATGAAAGTATATTCCAATAAAGTAATAATAGTTCTCAAAATATTATCTAGTAACTTGCTTTATGAATACATTTGTATGTTGCAATTTGAAAACATGTTTTAAAGAGACTTCTCTTTTAAGAATCTATTCTTGTATAAAGTGATATTTTGCTTCAATGTACTTAGTCCTTACATGAAATATATGATTTTGAGCAAGAAAAATTGAGCTTGTGTTATTGCAATTGAAATAAAAATTATATAGTATTGAAATATAAGCTTTAAAAATATCAAATTGAATTGATTTATTTAATGAATGCATTGATATCTTAGATGGAAATGAAATATGTAATTCAATGAGCACACTTTGTATATGAACTGCTTCTTTGGTAGTTTCAGAGAGTGCCTTGGATTTTGCATACATAAGACTATAAAAAATAATTGACTATTGTTTACTGGACTAAGTAATTAATATATATGCAAGTTTTAATACATATCCAATGTAAAGTACTAAGTTTTAAGGCAATTGCGGTAATCTACATTTGTAAATTGTTTAAATGTAAGATTTGAAGAGCACTTGAAATAAAATTCAAAATCAATTGTCTTTTTTATATATTTCCAAAATATGCTTGACTACTTTTCAATATTGTTTTTTTTAGCTTAGCCATAAATCTACCAGCTATATCAATGAAATATGATAGATCGGATCTTATATTAATAAAGAATAGCAGTTTATTAACTATCCTATAATATTGAGTGGTATGACTGTAAAATTCAATCTTCAATCTAAATTATAAGATAGCCTTAATTAAGAGTTTCTTATAATTGGTAGTGTGAAGTGGAGAAGTAAATAGTAAGAATAAAAGAAGAATAATATAAAAATTGGAATAAATAAAATCAAGCAATTACTTAATTGTTAGGGACATATTCCTTAGAACTTTCTAGAGAGAAGTTTCTAGAACCTTTTAGAAAACAAGCCTCTAGAACCTTCTAAAAGAGAAGCCTCTGAAACCTTTTAGAGAGAAGTTTCTAGAAGCTTCTAGAAAGGAATCCCCTGGAACTTTCTAGAAGCTTCTTAGTTAATAGAAGTAGCTCGAGAAGTTTCTAGAACCTTCTAGAAAGGAAGCCTCTGGAACCTTCTAGAAGCTTCCTAGTTAATAGAAGTAGCTCGAGAAGCTTCCTAAGTAGGAGTATATATAGGGATCGAGGCTGAAGAGTTCTTCAGTCTCGACAACACATCTCTTGGAGTTCTAGCTCACCTTTCTGGTGTTGTTCTTGTACTCATCTGTTTAATCTAGTTTTGCCACTTCTTCTTGAACTTCTTGTTAGATTTCAAGTCTGTATTTTGTGTCCGTGACAGTTTGTCGAGACTACACTAACTTGAGATATCAGAGCTAGTTCTTTCTTAGTAGAGTGTGGATTACCCCTCTACTTGAAGGTATACTAGCATTTTTTAGAGGTTGCGGATTACCCTCCTCTAAACTGATACTTCTTCTGTTACAATATTGGAGTCTTATCCTTCTTGGAGAGAGTGGATTACCCCTCTTCTTGAAATTCTTAAGGCATTTTATAGGTTGTGGATTACCCTCCTATAAACCAATATTGCCTCTTATAGGGTCATTTTTGTCCTTCTTTTAGAATGGCCGGAGGTTAAGACATTAGTATGATAGAAAGTTCGGAGTCTAAGTTAGATGCTATTATGAATGCCCTCGCTACGTTATCACAAAGAACTGCAGAGATTGAAGGAGTGGTGGCAAGGCTTCATAATGATGGAGTATCTGGGATAGCACAATCTAAACTATACCAGCCTCAAATTTCGGCACTTGGAGAAACAACTTTACCTCAGGTTTGACAAGAACCACTAGTTCTACAACATAAGGAGCCTCGAGTTAGCCTTCCAGATAAGTTTGATAGAACACATTCCAAGTTTTGAGGATTCGTCAATCAAATCAGGTTGATAACAGTTTTACAGCCCGAACGATATCCAACGGAGGAGTCAAGTGTTGGGCTTGTTGGAACCTTACTTACGGGACAAGCTCTATCATGGTTTGCTCCTTTGTTTGAGAAACGATCATCCATATTAAACAACTTCGAAACCTTTTTGGAAGCATTTGTGGAAGCATTTGGTGAACACGATAAGGTTCGATGGGCTACAACAAAGATCCGGTCGCTACGACAAGGGATGCGTTCTACATCAGTCTATGCTTCGGATTTCAAGCAATTAGTATGCGACATCAATTGGGATGAAGAAGCATTGATGAGTCAATTCTATTGGGATTTAAGAGATGATGTGAAGGATTTGCTGTTAACTCTTCCTGATCCACGAACGCTCAATGAAGCCATTAGCCAAGCTGTGAAGTGCGATAATCGCCTATTCCAACGTCGCCAAGACCAACGCTCAAGACAACATACAATTCGCCATGCTCCAACTATGTCAACAAGCGGTGTGAATTCGCATTCAGAGGTGGAAGACATGCAAATTGATGTGGTACGTATCAAATCTCTTACTATAGAAGAAAAAAAGTGACGTATGGAGGAAAATTTATGCTTGTATTGCGGTGGAGAAGGCCACAAAGTCGGAAACTGCCCCAAAAAGCAAAATCGAGGCATAGTCAAGACTAGGGGAGTATTTGTTCAGGAAAACGAGGATGCCCAGCCACAGTAGGAACCGTGCGGCTGGACAATGAAATATCCCAACAACAATCAGGTTCCTTTCTTTCTGCCCAACCTGCACTTTGTTTTACAATCCCTCTGTTTATCGGCCCTCAAAAACTGAGAACCTTAGTACTACTAGACTCAGGAGCATCTGCTTGTTTTTTAGACGAAGAATTTACAAAGCGTCATAAGATCCCTTTAGTACAAAAATCAAAACCTGTTCATGTTGAGGTCATAGATGGGCGACCTTTATTGTCTGGTAGCATCACCCATGAATCAAAACCTATAGAAGTAACGTTTAAAGACCATAGTAGTCATATTATTTTTAATATTATTAGAACCCCATCAAATCCTATTATTCTTGGTCTTTCTTGGTTGGAAAAACATAATCCATTGATAGATTGGAGGTTGCGGAAGATGACTTTTC